TGTTTGTTTAAAAGAAAAATGTAGAAGTATTTACGGAACATAATCATTCATATGTATAAACATATTTTTATGATTAGGAAGGTTTATTGGCTTCTATAAAAATACATACAAATCATAGACATACTCTGCAGACTGCTGAGACATTAAGATTTTTACCAGCTGACAATAATCAGAAGAATACATTTATTGAGTATTTTAATAATGGTATGGGGATTATTGAATCTTCTAAGTACCATGAAAATATACTATCATTGAGGCATGATTTCAAGCAACAAGATTATACCAATGGTTCACTAAATCCAACATACAGATGTATATAAAATTAGTATGAAACATGACGGTTAAATAATCTAGGTCCACGAAGTGGTACTGGATTAATTGAAGTAAATATTTATTAATAATAAATAATAATTGACTTTAAGTTTTAATTATAAATGTATTAAAATTGATACATAGGTAAATTATACATTACTAAAATACTATAGGTAGATAAATAAATAATCATTATACAATTTGTTTAATGTAGAAATTGATTGAAAAAAAACTTGTATACGAAAAAGATGGTATAATTGTTAATTTCAAACAAAATCCATTTGCTGTTGTAATTTTGACACCAATGATGAAAAGAGCACATCTATTAAAAACATCAAATGATATTGTATTTGTGGATAGTACATCAGCATGTGATCCTGAAAATCATACCATAACTTTTGTATTAGCGCCTTGTGCTGCGGGAGCTGTACCATTAGGAATTATAATCACTCAAGGTAATATAACTTTATATTTGATACAAACATAAGTTTAGATTGAAATTAATTGAATATTTGAATAGCTGTTTGTTAAAACAGGCCTATATAAATATATAGTAACTAGCTGATCCCGTGCACTTCGTTTCCCGTTAAATGTACCAACTCTATATGACTCAAACATTGTTCAATGCGTTATTTAATATTCGGTGTATGATGTTCTAGATTTATCTTAACTTTTCTGTTGCCCGGAATAAAAAATTTTGAATTGCAGCAGTACATTATCAGATAGGTAATTTACCTGAGGTAGATCGCGGACCCCGTGCTGTTTGTACGTAAGTGTATGATTTAACTCAAAAAGTACCAAAGTTATACCAAGTTTGACGTTTTTATTAATTCCACCTACCTATAAATCCTAACCGTACTAAAATCCGATGAATAAAAAAAACCAAATTTAACCCTTTTTAAATTAGCGTATCTTCTTCCCATAGGTCTAATCTACACACCGTCATTCATTTATATATAAGATATATTTACAAAAAATAATAATACAAATCAACAAACATACCCGATTAACCAATAGCAACCAATATAATATAATACACAATAGAGTAAATAAAGACAGCGGTATAGAGTTCAAATCCCAGACATCAATAAATAGTTTTTGCAGTTTTTCTAATTATTCAGTTGACTTTTTAAAAATTTTCTTTCGTAAAAACCTTCACCTGGCAATTACGAACATCTTAAAAAAAATTTGAGACAAATCGGCCCAGCCGTTCTCAACTGATGCAATTTCGAATTTTTTGTCTCCATTTTTATATATATAGATATGTAACATATCATATTTATTGGTAGAATAACTACCCAAGTAATACCGGATATTCATAGGATTGTCTGTCAGTCTTCTTTTTCGTTTGTTCTATTAATAATAGATTTAAATATGATATAATTATTCTTTGGACGATGGTTTGCAATTATTTTTAATCATAATAATCTATGTGTATTCAAGTAATCATTCAAAAGATTATTCAATATGGAATATTCATATATATTATGGTATAGCTCATTTAATGAATATTCCAGAGAATATCCATCAGGTCATAATATATTAATATTCATTTTTTATTAATTGTTTTTAATTATACAATGAATAATCCAAAAAGCATAATCTTTGATACGTATCTAATGGGGAATATTCTATGAATAGTAATCTATTACTGGTTATCTTTAAAATATAGTTCGAATTAAACGACCGGGGATTCCCAGTTTAACCGAAAATTTGTTATCTGCGCTCGTGCGTATATGTGTGTGTGTGTACTATATGTATTTATATTGTGAATTGTCATTGTGATCATTACTGATTTGCCAGTTGCTGTTCATTAACGTCAAAATTATTGTCATTGTTGCAACTTGCAGTATTATACACTAGCATATTATTGTGGTGCGTGGTAAGTTATTATTTATTATAATTACAATGATTACTAGGTATGTACACTAATTAATTTATTCTTTTACAATAATAATAACAAATAATTATTTTTAAAAAATCACTGCATATTATATAGGTACGTCATGTTTCATTGAATTACAGATACTACATGATAATATTGTTTTGTATTATTATTAATTATAATCAGTAGAGCTTTGATGTTTATGGTTAGGTATTGCTTAGCTTTTTTATATTAGTTACTTATGCCAAGGTAGGTAGGTAGGTGTTTATATAAAGTGAAGTAGGTACTGAACATAGACCTATTAACTAGTTAATAACTAGTTAACTTATTAGTTGATAGGTCTATGGTACTGAAGTACAACTCAAATTTGATTCATGCATCATAGGTACAATCGATGATAGATCACAAAGCCACAATTTGTTTACCTAAATTGACAATTTATAGTAGTACATGTTTCACAATTTATATAGTTGCATATTGATTGTTTTTATTTTTTTATGTATTGAATAAATTTCCAACTACAACAGTATTACATTGTACAAAATTAACATTATAACAAAAACAGTTGGTCAAATAATCCAAGCCAATGGCTGTGTGGAGATGAGAGTTCTAATAATATAAAATAATTACCCTTCTAATTCATTCATGAAAATTGAATTTACATTCAAAGATAATAGATCATAACTATAGTAAAATATATTAACAAATGTATACAATAAAAATCTTAATAAATGTCAAATTGTCATGTATAGTTATTTAATTCAATATTATGATACTTAATGTTATGATTACCTACTATTAATTTTAAATTGCAAAAATGAGGATTTATCATAATTAATTTGAAGTGAATTATTATCCAACCAAGATTTAACATTTTTTAGGCTAATGCTAATTTTTTCATCAATACTATTCAGTCACTACTAAATATGAATTCTGGTATGAATTATTGATAAAAAATCAAATTAATTATATTTCATTTTTTTTTTAATAATATTTTTATTTTTATATTATATAGGAAAATGCACATTCTAAAAAAGGTAGGCGGAAAAAAAGCCCACGGAAAAAAAGCCCAAAAATATAAATATAAATGTGAACAAAATATAATAATATATTAATAATACATTACTATACTATAACAGATAATAATCATAAATAATTGTATAAGAGGCATATATAGGTAATTTTATAAAAGAAAATATTAAAATTTCAAATATGACTTATACATAATATATAACTATTGAACATTTTTAATGTATTTTAATTTAAGAAATATTATTAAGGTATATTATTATATAGAGGGTTTGATACTGCCATGAACTGATGAACCACCTGTCAATAAATTGCATTTTTATTACCCAACTATTGATAAGCACTTTTACATTTAATTTAATTTATATTGTTCGGTACTTACCAATATAATTTATATATATAACCAGTCAAAATGTTAAAATTTATCAATAACTGGGTAATATTGACACTCCATATAGTACTCCATTACTTGGTTATTGAGATACTATCTACACGTCCTACTAGTAGGTACAGTTTTATCCAGTTATACATTTGTTATATATTTTATACTTTTGTTTTACCAATTTTTGTGAATATGGAGATTATCAAATCAAATAAAGGTGGTAACAAAGGTTTTTACAAAGGTTATGTATATGTTGTAAAGTATATTGGCGTATCAAAAATAACCTGGAGGTGTTCTCAGAGGTGTTCAATGAAATGTACTGGAGAATTATACACCGATCTCAAAATGGAGAACCCAGAAGTAAAAACAGGACATAGTCATTTGAAAGATGATGACAGTGTTAAGATAGAAAAAGCTTTGTGTGCGATGAAGGAACGATCGAAAGCTGGTTTATCTAAACCACTTGAAGTTTATGCGGCAGAAATTTCTAAGTTGGATGGTAACACTAGAGCGAAGATGCCAGTGGAAGACCATGTTAAAAGAACATTAAGAAATCAACGTTCTGCATTAAATCCAGTTGAGCCAACTAGCCTTGATAATTTGGTCATTGATGGTAGGTTGAAAAGGCTGTAATTAAAGCTGTGCATAAAATCTTTAACAAAGAAGTTATTATACGTGGGTGCTTCTATCATCTGTCACAATCAACTCACAGAAAAATTCAAGCTTTAGGTCTAGAAAAATTATACCATGAAGACCCTAACTTCACAAAATTCTGCGGAATGTTAGATGGTTTAGCATTCTTACCTCTAACAGATGTTGAACAAGGAATGTCATTGTATTTGCGATCTATTATGCCTGATACTGCCTTAGATTTAGTTGAATATTTTGATTCTACATATGTAAATGGCACTTTCAAGCGAACAAATTGTCCGATCAACAAAATAAAATTTAAAAAAGTTCAACCAAGGTTTCCTCCAAGTGTCTGGAATGTCCATGAGGCAACGTTGAATGATCAACATAGAACGAACAATACAACCGAGGGTTGGAATCATAGGTTCTCAAATCTAGTAGGTCATAACCATCCATCCATTTGGACTCTGTTAAAAAAAATGAGATTAGAAGTTGCTGTAGATGATACCAAAATAAGGCAGTACAATTTAGGAACTATTCAACCAGTGAAAAAAAGGAAACTTACAGTAAAAAATCAAAATACATTAAAGCGACTATGCGTAGATTACAATGAAGGAAAAAGATCAATTGAAAACTTCTTAGACGCTATTTCATACAACACACGAATTAAATTGGATTAATTTTACTAACTTTATGTATACTTAAATATTGTAATTAAATGTTTGACTAGTGAATTATTTTATGTAATTTATATTATTATATTGTATTAAAAACGACTGACGAGTGACAACTTACTTACAGAGTACTCACAGAAAAACTACTTTACTTTAAAATCACAATTATGTACCTATTATCATTTATCATCACAATTTATTATTATTATTATTATTATATAGTAGTAGAACAGTGTAGGAAGCTGGTGAAAAAGATAATGTCCTGTTAATCATAGTCCGTGATTGATATCAATTATTATTATTATTATGTTACAGTATCACACTATACCCAACAAAATATTTATATTATTATTGTATTATTACAGTTGAAAATTGACTGACCTGCTGTGACTATTACTATTATAATTAACAATTAATTATTATTTTCATTATAATATATAATAATATATTATTATATTTTGTTCACATTTATATTTGTATTTCTGGGCTTTTTTCCGTGGGCTTTTTTTCCTCAGTGTATTTTTTTTTTTGGGCTTTTTTTCTGGGCTTTTTTTCCTTGGGCTTTTTTTCCGTGGGCTTTTTTTCCGCGATTCTCTAAAAAAAATATTATTATTTTGTTCATTTTCTGTGGCCTTATATACTTTAATAAAATATAGTATTCTTCAATAGTTACCTACCTAAATATATTTAGGTAAAATAAAAAAATCTATTTTTTCTTATACATTCATTAAAAACTGCTATTTAAAATACATATTTTATTGGGGTACATAATTACTATGTTCCTAATTGGCTTCCTATACAAATTTTATATTGTTTGATTTATTTTATAGTTATTCTTTGAAAGTATCCATGTGTAAGTAACATTTTTAAATCTAAGTAGGTAATATACTTATAGGTACCTACCTCAAATTTTTTCTTAAAATGCCAGAGTTGTAATTTCATTATTTATTATTAGGGTTATTATTATACATAATCAAATATGGATTCTGAAAAACAATATGCTAATAAGAAAAAATGCCCATCATCGTCCAAGTCACAATTTAATAAAAATATAAGACAACAACTTCAAACTTTAGACTGTATTAGAAAAAACAATGCAATATTATCTAGTAACTCAACTATTAAATATACTAGAACAAGCATCCAAACTATCCCTCATTCTAGAGACATGACAAATGATTTATTTACTATTGAACAAGACATTCCCAATCCTGCTAGTGTTTCCAAACAACCTTTGCAGACGATCACAGTAAACAATGATTTAACTTTGCCTAGAATTATTTCAACTGAATTAGACTCCAGTAGACCAGAAAATTTTGAAAATAATTTGACAACAAATGCAGACATTCCTGATCAATTTCGAGCATGGGCAATAAGAAATAAAATTACTCATGTTGCTCTACGCGAGTTATTGTTTATACAAAAGCAAATACCTGAATTGAGAACTCTTCCAAAAGATCCCAGAACCTTTTTGCAAACACAGAGAACTATTTTGCGTGACATTAACCCAGGAAAATACTATCATTTCGGTTTACAAAATGGCATTGTAAATATTTTGGAAAAAGTTGATCTTTTAAATATTCCTGATGTGATAAATGTTGGTATAAACATTGATGGATTACCTCTTAGTGATTCATCTTTAAGCCAGGTTTATCCAATTTTATGTTTAGTTACTAATGTTAAAATTTTATTGCCTTTGAATATTTTTTGTATTGGAATTTATCACGGTTACGATAAACCATTAGATTTTAATCAATTATTGGAGGAATTTGTAAATGAGGTTGTTAATATGACTTTAAATGGTATATATATAAATGGTAAACATTTTAATTTCAAAATTTCCATGTTATTGTTTGATGCTGTTGCTAAAGCAAGTGTACTTAAAATCAAAGGCCATAGTGGATATTCATTATGTACAAAATGCACACAGGAGGAAGAATATTTAGACCATGTGATTTTTCCAGATATTGAATTTATAAAGAGGACTGATGAAGATTTTGTTAATCAATCTGATCCAGAACACCACACTGGTCATTCTATCTTACAACAAATTCCTAACTTAGGTCTAGTAACTGATGTTCCTCTAGATTATATGCACCTGATCTGTTTAGGTGTTGTTAAAAAGCTATTGGTCAACACATGGTGTTTTGGGCGGCCTCCTCATAAGTTACAATCGAGTACAGTTGAAAAAATATCAGAAACATTATTGAGTTTAGTAAGATATATTCCACATGAATTTGTAAGAAAACCAAGACATATCAAAGAGGCTAAAAGGTTTAAAGCAACTGAATTTCGTCAATTTTTATTATACACTGGTATAAAAGTTTTAAAAAATAATTTAGATAAGAATAAATATGAACATTTTTTAACATTGCACGTTGCTATACGTATTTTATCATCTGATGTGTTGATGAAAACTATGACTGACTATGCTGAAGAGCTATTAAAGCATTTTGTTCTGTCTTCAAAATTAATCTACAGCCCTAAAATATTGTCACATAATTTCCATAATTTATTGCACATCACTGATGATGCCAGAAAATTCGGAAATTTAAACTTGTTTAGTAATTTTTCGTCTGAAAATTATCTTCAAAAAATTAAAAAACTGTTAAGAACTCATAATAATGTACTGTCACAAATTGTACATAGATTATCAGAAGAAAATAATTTACATAAATTACCTATTTCACATAAAATAAATATTGGAAGTTTTAGGTGTGCAAAAGAATATAATAATGGAATTTTAGTAAAATATGATACTTCAGACCCTCAATATAAAGAAGTAATTTTTACTAATTTTAAACTTGGTTTAAATCTACAAGATTCTTGTTGTAGATTAAAATGCAACTCTGTTATTGAAATTGTAAATTTTGCATATTGTCATAAATTGAAAGAAGTGGTTGTTATTGGTCATATATATAATAATGTGTATGACTTTTATACAAAACCTTTGTCTTCTTCAATAATTGGAATCAATGTTGTTGGTAGTTTAAATGAAAGTTATTCATATTGGCCTTTATCAAAAGTGCATCAAAAATTAATTCGTTTGCCTTATAAAACTGAATTTTTAGTAATTCCATTGCTACACACATCTGAAATGCTATAATAATATTTGAAATGCAATTGCAAAATTAATTTTATACACTTGTAAATATTGTAAAGAATTATAAAAATTTTAATAGGCGTTTTACCATTTTTTATTTTTTTTTTACTTATGATGAATTGGTTTACTAATATTTATATTTTATATAACTACTATAAACCATTTAAGATCTACTATTATACTTAACCTATATTTTACAAAATGAATTTCCTAGATAGAAGATGACTGGTTGGTATGTGGTGAAATTCACCAAGGAAAAAAACCTCATTGAAGTTGTTCCCAGTAACTGGATACACAATTTTAAAGAATGCTTATGGCCCGAAAAACTGGGAACTCTAAAATTGCAAGCGGCAATTAAAAATAGGTCAAGACCAAGCGATGATTGGAAGTTACACCCAATTAAAGTGATATCCAAACAAATGTATTCCAATTATAGTGATGCTTCAAAATGTGCTGACAAAACACTTGCTTTAACTTCATCAGCCTCAGAAACTGAACTAACTTAAAATCAATCAATTAACAAACGAAAAAGAACTTGTAAAGCTGATAACTATAATGGATTAAGTAGTAGCAGTGATGAAGAACAATCAACAGCTCATAATATTCCTGACTTTCCAAATTTCACTAGTAGTAAGTTAATATTGATATTTTATTATACATTATGTCAACCTTATAACATCATACTCATTATTCTATCTCTGGTTAAACCTGTAATATTTATGATACATTTTCTATTTAGAAATTTCAGTTTTTCAGGAAATAGATGGAGACATAGTTGAAGAGGGAACAAAAAGCAATATATATAACAACAATTACCATAATCAAGACTCATTTGTTAACAATACCAATTCACTGATAGAACAACCAGACAATTTAAGTAAGTGTTGTGATCTTATATAATCTAGCCAATATTTTATTGTGTTATAATATTTAAAATATGATATTCTAAATATAAATTTAATATACCTATCACATATATATATTATTTAATGTACAATTTTAGCAGGTACTTTCTGAGTTACTGTATATCTAAATTTTAAAACAACTGTTCATGTATATTATATTTAGTACTCATTAAATATGAGTAGGTAACAGATTGAATATATTATTAAATATTTGTAAGTACATACTATTAAATTGTAATGTGTTCCAAAAGTTAAGATTAAAATCATTGGTTGTAAAGACGTGATCAGAGTGTTACTCTGCCATACACTATGATATAAATATGAATTAGAGTAAATTAAATTGTTATGTTATCATTTTTTTCAGCTGTATGTCAGTCAGAAGAGAATGAAGACTTATTATTGCAAGAATTGGAAGCTGTTACGGATGTTCAAGATGAAAACTCATTGTCTGTACATAATGAATATCCCAGTTCATTATTGGTTGAAAAGAAAGATTGCGATTCAGGTAAACTTGTATAGTTTTTTTTTTTTTTTTAATAATGCCATCAATTAAACTATAATATAACTAAATAAAAATAGTGATTAAATGAAACAAGTTTCGATACTTTATATGAAACTTAAAAATGTAATACAATTTATATTATAGTGAAATAGTATGTGCTATAAACTATAATACAATACTAAATTATAGTTATGTAATGTTTCACCTATTTAACATTAAATAGAAGTACAAATGCAAATCATGAGGCAATTAGTTACATTGAATGCCAGGAGTAAAGAGCACGGCGAATATTTGCACACCATATTAATGATTTTGAATGACATTTAAGAAAAACAAAAATCATCGGATAATCAACCTGCAACTCCCTCGTCCATGCTTGAGTTTGAACCGATATATGAAACGCTTCCAGTAACTAATGAAGAGTCCTTAAATTTATTACAACAGGCTCTTACCAATGATCAGACTCTGTTTAACAAAACTGTAAGTATTTGTTAAGTATTAATTATAAAATATAATTTTTAATACTATCTTGTTCATTAAAACATAGGTAAAAATGTTGTCCTTAATTGGAGGAAGTGACATTAAAGAGTCAGTGAGGCGGATATTGAGAAAACTAATATCAAATGATTATGCCAAACAGTTAAGTTATACTGGTCACAAAAGCTCCAAACATGCATTTAACAAAACAATTTTGTCATCCCTACTTATAAGTATGTAACTATTTAATTAACTTTTATTATGTACACAGTTTAATATTTCAACAGGGCCACAAAACATTGAAAAATTGAGACATTTATTTACTATTCACCCTATTCAATTGAAAGCTTATACCTATACTATATCTCTTAGATTATAATTATTTTAAAAATACCTACATAGTTTTCTTCAAAATACATTGGTTTAAAAAAATAACTACTCATTATATTGTACTAGTTTCAAAGATGAGAAATAATAATAGTTTAGCTTATTTTATCAACCAATAATAAGTTATAATGTACATGGTAATTGGTAAATCTGTGTATCTGTATGTGTGTGTGTGTGTGTTTATTTTGTTGAAATTTTAATATTTTATAATTATTATTATTATACTCCACCAACCTGTCTAAATAAAATAAATGCATATTCAAATATAATATTAATTTGATGAATGTTAGGTTTTTTTTTGTTGAACTGAAATTGACATATCAAAGATGCGCAGTCGTTCCATAATATAATTTTACACTAAATTCAATTATTTAGTAGGAATAATAAATATACCTACCTAAAAAATCTAAAATTAAATATGAGATAGAATTTATTTTTTAAAAGTACTTATTATTAATATGTACATAATTTTTTATACTATATTATTTCCAAGATATTGTTTAAGTTTTTATATTTAATATTTGAATGCAATTACTAATTTTACTAACCCGCTGATAAATTCAAATTACTTTTAATTAATAAATATATAAAATAGTTATTTCTAGTTCTTATTACTAAAAGTCTATTCAAACTAGTAGATTAATAACTAGTCATTTTAATATATTTGAATAATTCTGTATATTTTTTTTAAATAATAATAAGTTATTGTTATGATAGGTTGAAAATGATTATACATTTATACAAATAAAATATAATGCAAATTTGAGTAATGGTATTATTATCTTTGTTTTATTTTAGAAGCTATACATTCAACCAGCAATTTGGCTGATAGATCAGTCAAAGAAGTAGAAACAATAACAAGTATTTGGCTGAGCAAAGCCAGCGAAAGGGCAAAAAATAATAACTAGGTTTAATGTATTTAATATTAAATTTAAATAATATTTAATAATATTTTGTTTTGATTTATATAATATACCAAGTATAATAATATGAATATTAATTTTTTAACAAATGTTTTACCTTTTTTTTTTCTGTTTGAACCGGCGGTTATTACTTAATATTACTTCCGCGGCGTCGCCATCGTTTATTGAAAACAACACACAACGGCCGATGGCCAAAATGAGGGTAGGTGGGACAATACCCCACCTAGCCCCCTACCAACAAATGTTTTGCCTAGGTATTTTAATTTTTATGTTGGACTACTTGATAGGGTTTGAGGTATTGATTTGTCTAAACTAAATACTGTCTCAAAAATGTTTAAAATTAATTTTTTTAAAGTAAAATATTTATAATAAAATAAATAACATAATATGTCAAACCATCAAACAAATCATCCTCTAAAATGTTTGTATTAAATGATTTTACTCTAAGATAAATCAAAATCATAGAAAACAATTTTACAATTTTAATGCGTTTCATCCATGATTCTGTTCTTATATATCTATCTGAGAGAAAACACATATTGTGGTGACGTTCTCTCAATTTTAACATACAATTATAATTTTGTTACTTGGATAAAGTGGAGGAACCATGGGGTCTGAGAGGGGTTACTTTTAGAAAGTCTTAAATTACTAGGTATCTAGTCAACTAATTTAATTTATTAATTTAAGATACATTTGACAATAGATTGTTTCCATAACTAAACTATATAACAAATCACTCACAATTGCATGTTGTATAACACTAATTTTTTTATTTTTTGGAACGTAATAGCTAACAGATGAGCCCCCTCCCCCTAAAAAATTCCTAGATAGCCACTGCTTGGATATTCTATGAATAAGAATAATAATGGATTTTTAGGAATATTCTTTAACTATTGGGTAAGAGTCAATTAGTATTAATCATTTATTGTTATTTGGTTGCTCAAAGAATAACTATTGGATGTCTCATTCAAACATTCATTGGTTATTATGGTAACAATAAATTACGATTATTCCATTATTATTAAATGAATGATTTAAGACACGATATGGATATTCTTGTGGAAGATTCATAACTTATTCTGAATAATTGGAATATTCATAGCATGCCTAAAAGTGGCTCGTTTGTGGATTTTGTAACATTCCATGCTCATTCGTAGATAATGAAATGAAAAATGAAGAATAATCTATAAATATTCCTTATATTCTTTTCGAATAGGCTATTAATATCCTATGATGGTCTATGTGTTACTTGGGTAGGTACCTAACTGGAAAAAAGTTTCAGTTTTGTTTTTTCCTGAGAAGTCATTAAATATGGACTTACACAAATGTTACAAAAATTTTTAACGATCATCAGTTTAATTATTTCAATGTTTAAATAAATTATGATACAAATTATATTAATGAAATATCTAACTACATTTTTAAACATATTTGTATAGCCTCAATGAATACTAACCTATTCAGTTTAAAAATTATTGATTTTTTATAGGTCAAAGCTATGATGCATATAATGCTGGCTTTAGTTTATTAAAGGAAGCTCTTCCAAAAAATAAAAGTTTTGGTACTTGTGGATATCCTCAAATTTTTATGACAGATAATTCTTCTGCAGAAATTAATGCTCTTCATAATAGTTGGCCAAATAGATAGCAGACATTTTTTGTGCATATTCCATGTACTTCAAGCAGTTTGGCGCTGGTTATGGGAAGCTAAAAATAGTATACCAAAAGAAAGTAGAAAAAATCTTATGCAGACTTTCCAAAAGACCTTGTATGCTGATACTATTGAAAAAGCGGAACAAGCATATTTAAACACAATAAATTCAAACTATGAAAATTGGAATAAATATATTAGCTTATACTGGGAATTTCGATCAAAATAGTGTCTTGCTTAGAGGGATGCAACTATCAATGGACACCAAACAAATAACTTTTCTAAAATAACTGTTAGGATTTTCAAGGATATAGTTCTATCAAGAGTGAAGGCATATAATGTTATATCATTAATTGATTTTGCGGTTACCGGTATTTTTCCCGAATCAAAATTCCCGAATGAACTTTTTCCCGAATGGTATTTTGCCCGAAAATCCAAAAACCCGAAACCTTTTTTCCCGAATCTAAATTCCCGAATAAACTTTTTCCCGTATGGTATTTTTTCCGAAAGTCAGTATACCCTAAATCTTTTTACCCGAATCGAATAATAATATTATAATTTATATTTTATAATAAGTAAGTATAAAGTGGCCAATCCGCCTATGTTGTATAGTAAAAATAATTACATATAAAAAATAAAAGTAATAATAATTTAAAACATATAGTGATAGTGTGATAATTAAATATTTAAAAATCGATCATATTTTATAATAAGTAAGTATAAAGCGGCCAATCCGCCTATGTTGTATAGTAAAAATAAAAACATATAAAAAATAAAATAAACAATATTAATAATTATTACTTACAAAACAATATTATGCGCAATCGTCCTCAAAAGTTGTAGGTCCTGGTATGTATTAAAATCAGCAGTAATGGACATAATTCGTGTTTGAAAATCCCGACATTTTCTTTTTGGCTGAGATCTAACTTTTCGTCCTAGACTCAGTTCCGAGATCATTATCTCTACATCGGCTTGTACTTTTTGGAAATCACTGAGAGCAGAATAAAGGTCGGGATGATGTTTTCCAATAACAAGCTGGAAGCGATTGTGCCACCCCTCACTTACATTGTTTGTTTTATGTGAACCAGTCAGAGCTGCTTGGTGTTGATTCCAAATTTCTGGTGGATACCGTGGAAGATACCCTCGTTTTCTTCCTCGAGCTATTACACCAAGAACATCATTTTTTTCAAAATATTCAAAAATTGGTAATAGATCTTCAGGCGCATCATTTTCCAAGAGCGAGAAAATGCGAGGAACTTCAGCCAAAGGTACGAATGCCAACGCTAGCATCATATGAGTGTAAACTTTCAATGAACGATCGTCGGGATCATTGTATGCGGCTTGAAGACCAGCAGACTGAATTTGTCGATAAATTGATTGGCCGAAATGAAAAAAACAACAACTAAGAGGAGTATTTGGATACACTTCTTCACATGCGTTGATTATGGCTTTTTCAAAGTCAGTCATGATCTTAGACGGTTCACCAACAATCCTGAGTTCGTTAAAAGAAGATTGTACTGCTCTGAGCACAGCAGTATACTGAACAGTTTCCTTTGACGACAACAGTGCATAGACAAATGGCACAGCGACTGCGTCATGAACATCATGTTGTTTGCATGTTCCCAGAATCGTGAAAACTTGTGTGAAAATAGTGGGACACACCTAAGAATTATCAAGGCTGGCAATTAAAATCTTGTTAAAATGTTACTTTTTTGTTAACTAACTTTTAACTTAATAAGTTACAATTTTAAAATATTTAATGTGTTAACCCTAGAATAGTAACGATAATTTATGTGATAATTTACGAATTAAAATACAAATCAGTTGAATGTCCATATAATGGCGATGAAGTGCGATAAAGGCAAGATACCTGTACTTTTTCATAAATATTATCTTTATCACCACATATGTCGCCCGCGGGCCGCGGCAATATGGTATTAATTAAATTTTGAAATTTTTTATTTCGGGAACAATAACCGTCGGGAAAAACGCGTTTGGGAAAAAAGGTTTCGAGTTTTTGGATTTTCGGGCCAAATACCATTCGGGAATTTCGATTCGGGAAAAACGGCGGGTACCAAGTTACACTTCTGTGGTTAAATTGGGATAAAATAGTAGAAGAACTCTAAAAATAATATAAAGTTGTGCTATTCCTAATTTGTTTTACATCTCATATAACCCCTTGTACTTAAAAAAGGTAAGTAATAAAATAATGCTAAAACATGGTTTACAAATTATAATACACATTTAATGTGTAAGTATATAACTAGACAGTAACATAAATTGAATTACAATATGGGCTTATAGCCTATAGGGTTAAATTTATTTTCCTCTTTTACTTTATTAGTGAATGATAGAGGATACATATTTAATAAAATTCAATTTTATTAATGTTGTTGCACAAAATAGGGTTTTAATTTAATAGTTACAGGCGTTACAGCTTTAATATAAATATTTAATAGAAGTATTTGGTGTGATATTTAATACCTAAAGTATATATTTAATTGTTACCTATTTTATGGGAAATGTGTTCAATATTAAAAAAACTAAAAAAATATTACTTAACACATTTTTTAACTCTAGTTAAAAGTATCCTAATACACTACTGGCCCACTTTTCCCAAAGGTCTGTACTCTATACAGTCTGGTGTACAAACAGCTAGACAAAAATAATGCTGTTATTAATTTAACTCTAAACAAAGTCTTACCTTAACATAACTATCTGTTTTTTTTGTCCATGGCGTACTGAGTTTAATGCTACACATAGGCGCAACTAGACCTCTAAAACAGGGGGTGCTAAATATGTGAATGCAATACTTATATGTAAGTACATTGTCTTTTCTTAACTCTAATTTAGACTGTATTGAAATTAGCTTAGAACAGTTCGATGGTCGTGAAAAATGAACATACATCATCTCCAGTGTATTAAATACATTTCGGGTACACTAAAATAAATTAAATTTGTTATAATTAGTATTTATTAAAAATTGAACATTCTAACATTGTATACCTTAACTCCTTTACACATATCTACTACAGCTAAATTAAACCTGTGTGCCATACAATGTGTGTAAATTGCATTTGGATATTTTTTTTTTTATTTTGGCCTGTACACCTCCGAGACAACCCGACATCACACTAGCACCAACATATGATTGTGCTACTATATGCAATGAGTTCATACTAATATTCAAATTTTCAAATCATTGATAAATAGCAGCAACAATACTATTGGCGTCTTGTCCACTGGAAACATCAACAAACTGTAAAAACCTTTCATGAGATTCTAGACCGACTGCATACCGAATACACACAGATAACTGCTCTTGTTTATGGCTTCTATAAAGTTAAAAATATAGTACCAATTACAACAAAAATAGCTACTAACATACGGAACACAACTAAAATATTATTATTATGATACTGATTGTTTAGATGAGTAAATTAAAAACTATTGTACCTGGTTTCATCCACCATTAAAGCAAAATGTCCAGTCTTAACTGTATTGTCAATAATTGTCTGTCTAACAAGATCTGCACAGATTCCTAAAATTTCTTCGTGTACTTTCCAACTTGTTTGACTAATTTTTTATTATAAAAATTTTCAAAATCTGGTATAAATTTTGAAAAAACAATATTGCACAATTCTTTAAAATTACCTAAGACAATATACATCGTTAATTGTTATCAATTACACAGAACAAATCATTATTTTTTAATTTTTTATACAATTTTTCCTTGATTTAAAGAATCACATTTTTCATCATGCCCCCTGTATGAAATACCTTGCTTGGCTAAATACAATACAATTTCAATTAAGTAAGACATATATTTACTTTTTTTTTGTCACTTCTTCTTTATGGAAAGATGATATTTGAGTTATTACAGATCCTATACTTGACCATTTACTTTTGTACCAAACTGAAAAAAAATATATTAAATATTTATAATAGACCAAGCTAATATTAATAACAATAGTTGCATTGGTAAATTATTTATAATATTACTTTTTGCCAATTATCAAATCCGGAATGAGTCCGTACATCCTGGGTACAGTTTCCTGTACTAAAAATCCGACATACATAACAAAATGCAGCATTTCGCTCAATGCTATATTCTAACCACTCAAAGTCATTAAACCATTGGCTACGAAAAGATCTTAATTGTTTTCCAAATTGACTTTTTTAATATGACTAAATAGCACATAAATATATGTTTAGAATTTAGTGTTTCGACTTAGTTAGGTTAAAATTTAATCGATACTTACTACTAGAACTGGACGACGAGGACCAGTACTTAGAGTTCCCAAATCATTAACACCTATGTGTCTATGTCATTTTTTGACGTACCCGACGAACAAGACACATTTGGGTCATCCAAGTATGTCATCCATTTGTATGTTTTTTAAATAAACTGAACATTTTAAAGTATCTTAATAAATATTAACAACCAACAAGTAAATCGTAAATTGCTTAACGCAATAACACAACAGACACTCGAATAAGTACTTCACGTCTTCAAAGTTGACGGTCAACAATACTTAATATTAATCATTAATGTAAGATTAAAGATTGTATAATAAAGATTTACCCAATAAAACGTTATTATAGAACTCATGCGGGTTTACCAGTATAATTGCAGTTCACCGCAGTGTACATGATATATATATATATATAATATATAGTATAATATTATACTATTGAGATATAGTGCTTTTTGATACGACCTATTGGCTAAAAATAGCACGTAAGCAATATATTTCTCCGTATCGTCCTTATCGTTAATTGTCTAACAATATTATGGGAATATTCTCCTATGGTAGGCGGTTCGTTTACTTTGGCGCGGACACATCGGACCGACAATATTCGGATAGACGCGAGCATGGCCGAGATATACCGCGCCTAGACGCGCAAGAATGTTATCATATTATGTATTCTATTCAAAATCCAACTGAAGCAATTTCTGAAAGCGATAGTGAATTGAGTGATGGCGAATTTTACTCATGTTTACAAGAAAATAATGACCACTCCACATCTTTCTCCGATGGACCACTGAATCAAAATAATTTTAGATCTACTAATGCTTCCCGTGTCCAAGCATTGAATTTTTTTAATTCTAAAAAAAAAGACCTCTGTATGTTGGAAAACTATCCTATTGTAAAGCAAGTTTTTCTTAAATTCAACACTACTATTCCATCATCAGCCCCTGTGGAAAGACTGTTCAGTGGAGCCATTTAAGTTTTAACTCCTAGAAGAAATCGTCTTAGTGACAAGACATTTGAAATGCTAGTATGCTGGAAATCAAATAAGAACAAGTAACAACTTACAAATTAAGCACTGTCAGCTGATTTATTTTAAAATAATTTGTTATGTATATTTTAAAATTAGATTTTTTTTATATACTATTTGTTTAATTGATATTTAAAATTATAAATATTATATTTAAACATTATATTAATGGAATTTTGTTTTAATTAAGACACTAAACTTATATACCTAGTTCAATGGCGGTCCCACGGGTGCAGCCAATGCAGCCTGTGCTGCACCTGACATTTCAACCACACTCCGCGTTTTTTTTTTTTTTGGTTGTCATCATAATATAAATTATAATTATTCATAAGTTATAACTATAAAGTTTTATTATTATGAGTAATAAGAGTACGAATAAGTTAAAATCCTTACATGATTTCTTTAAGCCGAAACCTAAAACTGGTAAGTTTAAATTAAGTAGTCGGTACTTTATATTTATATCAATATTTATATCTACATATTATGCAATGATCTATTCTTAACTATTAAGTATTAATATTATTATTCAAAATTAAATTCTCTTTTATACCACATTTAGATGACATTGATCAAAACCATCCAATGCCACCATGTACAAGTGATATGGTTGGAATCGCACAAGAAATGTCAGAAGGAACTGGTATGAATACAATAATTTAAGACTACAAATTATTTTTGTTTCAATGTATTTAATTATTATTAGAAATATTAAAAACGAATCAAAATCATCTAACGCCACCATGTACAAGTGATACTGTTGGAATCGCATAAGAAATGTCAGAAGGAACTGGTATGAATACAATAACTTAAGACTACAAATTATTTTTGTTTCGATGTATTTTATTATTATTAGAAATATATATAATTTTTAGTTTTATAATTCAGTATGTTTCTTTTTATACAACTAATTTATTGTGATATCTAATATCTATGTTGCTTAGATTAAGTATCTAACTAATTTTTTACATGTAAGTACCTACCTACTGATATTGAATTATTAAAAATATATTTTTAAACTTAGTGCTGTAATTTTGTATGATACCTCGCATTATTTATTTGTGTTTAGTGTAGTTAACAGTTAAATTTTTTTTTGTGAATTGTGATAATCTTACTATTAAATTAAATTAAACCATTATGCATCTATTTTAACTCCTATTGAAGAAATTTGTGAAAAATCCAATGTTCCAGAAATGAGATCTAAAGGTACAGGCTTTTTTCTCAAATGAAGTCATTTGAATTTATTTTTGGACTTGTTATGATGCAACCAATCTTGCAAATGATCCTAAAAATTAGTAAACTGTTGCAATCAAATAACCTAGAGTTGTTGACTGCTGTTGATGTACTTAATTCATTAAAATCCTCATTGGCTTCAATGAGAAATAATTCTAATAGTTTTGAAGATATTTACCAAAACTGTTTAGACATGTGTGAAGAGTATGAAATACATACATCAGATGTGAAAATAAAATGTGTCAACAAAAATTGATACATCTCAAAATCAACATTTTTTTGAAACAAAATCAGATGAAATGAAAGTTACCGTATCGAACACAACATTAGATAAACTGATAAATGGCATTGATTCTAGGTTTAATCAGGAATCATTACAAATCATCAATTCAATTGGAAATATGGTGAAATTGAATACTGGTGAAAATGTATCATATAAATGTATAAAAGAACAATTTGGTGTATGTGAAGATGATTTGTGCACAGAAAAAATATTATTAAAAAATATGACGGATATACCAAATGGTGGTAATTCAGTTAAAACAATACATGAATGGTTAGATTGGCTACAAGATTCTAACAAAAGTGAAATTTTTTCTAACTTTTCTAAAGCTTTACAGTTATTTATAACAATACCTACCTACCTGTTACAAATTGCAGTTGTGAACACTGCTTCTCAAAAATGACAATTGTTAAAAGTAAACTTCGAACAACAATGACCCAAAAAAGATTGGATTCACTGATGTTGTTATTTGTTGAACAACATAAAACTAATAATGTGGATATTGACGAGGTCATCGAAGAGTTTGTAACGTCACAACATTTTTTGCATTAATATTATTAATATCATAAACATACCTGTACCCATATTACCATTAATAAACATACCATAATACCAGCATACCAGCATAAACATATTTATATATTGTTATGATTATCGCGCGCTAATGCAGAAATGACCGCAGTGTTATGCAATAAATGTTCCCCGTTCCCCCCTTCATCATGCAGTGTTCGTCGTCGACGTGCCGCGGTTGCCCGCCGCCCGTCACCTCCAGCGCTTTCGTCGCGTCCGCCGGTACGGCCCGCAGGCAATACTGTATCATCCCACAAAACGACGACACTGACCTGCTCCGCCGCCGGCAACAGACCACCGCTGTCGCCGGGTCTCCGCTCAACACAAATCACTTTTCTCACGGCTCTTCACCTGCCTGGTCTACCACGATACACCTGCCTGGTCAACTGCGAGATACCCGTACTGACAACGACCGACGCACCGACCAGGCTGTGGCAACTCTATAGGCCGGTTACGGACATTGAAATTAGTTCATTCACCAGCCGTAAGGGTCGCTATTGTCTCGCTATCAGCACGCACATGCCACATGGACGGTCACAGAACAGATTGTTAGCAATATGGCCGTTAATCGTTATGTACTTTTGTAATTTCTTTCGTTTTTCTACATGTCATATGTGATCTGTGAATTAAGAATTTACCTAATATTTCGACCATAGAAAAATATAGATTTCGACTTTCGAGCGGTACCTATTACCTATACTTATCTGGTTGTCTGCTTTCGAGTACCTATCAGATTTTTGATATTGTTTACCTACGCTTTTATAGTTGAATTTATGTACAATTTTCAATAGCAGCGAAAACCTTGAATATGGGCCGTGCAGCATACAAATGTTCTGTAATTGGTTGTACGTCAAAAGGTAATTCATTATAAATATTATGTAACTTTTAGTATCTAGTAAATAAAATAAATGTGTAGGTACAATATTTCGCACTATCAGAACATTATAGTTTTTCAACTCAAAAAACCATGTTTTGAGAAAACTTACTTCAATGTTATATTATATTCTATAGTATACCTCATTCAATTTTGCCATATTAATATTGTGTAACAGATTTTCCATATGTATTTTAGTTTTTTTTTAATACATATCATTCCCTTAGTTTGGTTTTATTGTTACTTAATTTTTAAAGAAAAAGCTATAGGTACATATGATTTAAAATTGTTTATGTAAACTTTTTAGGTGCAGTAAGCTCTCACCGATTCCCAAATCCTAGAACCTTTTTGGAAATGTTCCAAAAATGGATAATGCTATTAGGATCAGAACGGTTTGAAAATATAGATCCTCGTGTTATTTATGAGAAGTTTCGCATATGTTCATTGCATTTTAATGTTGATGACATAAGCCCTGGCACAAAAACTTTGAAGCGCAATGTCCTGCCGCACTTGAATATGTTTGAAATAGTTCCAAGTTTGTTATAAATATGTTCTATACTAATATTCCACTATTATTTACTAATATATATTATTTGTTAATAGCTGATGTCAATGTTGCTTCACCAAGTTTAAATGGTGAACAGTGTGCCCTAACTGTTGAGTCAACAAGTAAGTTTTTAAAATTAATTACCTATGCATTTATGCTATAAAAACAATTATGTACAAAAAGTTTTAATTTTTAAATTTTTTAGCCACTTGTAATATTTCACCAAACATTGAGAAGTCTCCTTCTGTATCTAATGTTGATTTCAATTTATCTGGAATAGGTTTGTTAGATGAATCAGAAACACAAACTATGGGTAAGTGTTATAATAATAGGCTATATTATAGAATAGTTTGTACTTATTTGAATGTTGTTGTTTTTTTTTTGTTAGACCATACATCAAGTGCCATCAGTAAATCTCATTCTTATGAGTTAATTTGTAAGTACCTACTAATTTTTTCTAAAAGCTGTTATCTATGAATTATTTGCTTCATTATGCTTCATTATGTATAGTTGATGCGCATGAAAGTAGACCTTCTATTGATTCCAATATTGCTGGCAGTAAAACAAAAGCACCAAGCTCTGGTTAATATTATAATTTTTATTTTCTATCTATATTATTGCTTAAGTTTAACCCTAAAGCGCTGACCATATTTTTATAGCTTCACTGCTTAATATTTTGCTTAAGGCGTTGTAGGGTTAATTTAATTTACATTATCCAAGGCTGGGCATTAACGAGTTAAAAAGTTAATTTAATTTTCACTTTTTAACTTAACTAGTTACTTTTGGATTTTCATTAACTTGTCTATTTACTTATTTAATATATTAAAGTATGAATTTTTCATTTTTAGAAGTAAGTAAGTAAATTTATTTTGTGTTTAATTTTATCACATTTCAATATTTCAGTCTATTTTGTTTTATTTCAAAAATATTAACTTAAATTAACTGAGCTTAAGAAATACATTAACTTGCCCACCTTTGACTTATTATCTTAATTATCTAATTATTTGATATAGCAAATAACAATTTATTTATATATTAGGTATATTACATAAAATGGGAATAAATCGAGCAAATAAGCTAACACCAAAGTGTAAATCACTGTATGCCAATGCTTTGCTTCTACAGAAGCAATTACGACGCGAGCATAAAAAATGTAAAACTTTCAAGCAAAGACTTAAAGCTGCTAGCAATCACCTTCATTGCCAAACAACCCAACAAATGACTACTGCAGCACACATTTTTACAAAATTACAATTTCGTGAATCAAAAATGAAACCTAAAAAACGACGTTTCACCCTCAATGAAAAGTTAATGTCTTTATCGTTGTACAAACAAAGCCCTAAATCATATAGATTGTGTCAAAGATGTTTGTACTTCCATGTAGAAAAACTTTAAGTAATATGTTGGCATTAATACCCATCAACACTGGTATAGACCCTACATTAATTAAAGTGCTTAAAGAAAACGTCAAAAATTTAAAACCGAAATATAGATTTTGCAGTATATTATTTGATGAAATAAGTCTTAATGCTGGTTTGCAGTACAATAGTAACGAGGGGACAATATATGGTTTTGAAGAAAATAACTCAGGTCGTACTCAACAATTTGCTGATCACAGCCTAGTATTCATGATAAGAGGAATTGTAAAAAATTTCAAACAGCCCATATGTTACTCTTTTTGCAAAAGCACGACTAACAGACATGATTTGGCACATCAAATACGGGAAGTTATCAAAGCTGTGCAATCTACCGGCCTTAAAGTTATATCAACGATATGTGACCAAGGTGCAACTAACTCAGCTGCTATAAACATCTTAATAAATGATACAAAGGCATATTACTGGAAAAATAATAAAGAATACAATGGCGATTTCTATGAAGTGGAATACAAATTTGGCAACAGCACTGAACTAATCAAAATTTTTCATTTGTTTGATCCACCTCACCTGCTAAAAGGAATTAGAAATAACTTACTAACCAAAAATGTTTCATTTGATATGGACGGTAAAAAAGTAGCTAGTTGGCGGGATATCATGAACCTTTATGAATTGGACAGTAGTATACCAGACGTGAAAATGCTTCCCAGGTTAACTAAAGAACACGTTGTGCCTAATGAAATTAGAAAAATGAAAGTAAGGAATGCTGCTCAAGTATTGAGTCAAATAGTTTCATCCATTATGGCATTTCTGGCATGTAAGTAAAATGAAAATTTATTTATTTACCTAGTACTAAATATTTATTTTATTAAATTATTTTTTAGCAAAAAATCTTATTGGAGAAACAGCAGGTGACACAGCTAAATTTTGTCTTTTTTTCGACAAATTATTTGACTCTGTCAATAGTAATTACGATAAAGTAGTAGATGGAAAAATTTATCGAGCAGGATTAAAAAAGAATTCTCCTCATCATCAACTGTGGAAAGATTCTTTAAAAATTTTAAGTACCATGCGTTTTTTGAGTCCTTCTACTGGAAAGCCATCCACTCCACAGCCACCAACTTTGAAAAATTGGATTAAAACAATAAAAAGTAAGCAGTTAAAAATATGTTATTTCAAAGTAGCATATTAAAACAATTAACTATTTTTTTTAGGTTTCCAAAATATATTTCAAGTGTTGAGTGACAAAGGGATACAAGTTTTGCTTCTGAGACACTTTAACCAAGACTCATTGGAGAACTTTTTTGGTGCGTTGCGAGCTTTAGGGTATCGCAATAATAATCCCACCTGTGAAATGTTTTCATCAGCTTATAAAACTTTGCTGTTGAATAATATTATGTCGACACATTCCCCTGGCAGCAACTGTGAAGATGATTTTTCAGAGGCCTGTTTGGTTTCGTATCAAACGTTATTTGCCACATTTAATAACAAGCTGGATACTGATGAACCAGAATTTGATAGACAACGTGTTGCTGATTTACCCAAAGAAAAAAATCCTAGCTGTGCTTCCGACCTAACATTGTTAGAAACTCAAACTAAAAATTATATTGCAGGATTCATTGTAAAAAAATTGAATACCATCTTCTTCAAAAATTGTGATGTATGTATGAAAGAAATTTGTTCTAATATTAATAATGATCATCAAATTATTCAGGCTAGGGATTATCAGCCTAATGGTAAACATTTATTAAAATATAAAAATAAAGACACTCACATCAAGGGGTTGAAATATATGGGTTGCATTTGGGTATAATGCTAGAATAAAAATTCCATTTTCTGAGCAAAATTTACTTAAATGATATGTTAGGTGAGATACATGACCATCTAAAAATAATGCAACTGGGAGAGTTATTTTATTTTTAAGTAGCCATGGGTGGAAATAATTGACAATATATTCATAAAAAACTTCTCCAGTTATCCATCCCTTATCGGATTTAGCTATAGTCCAGTCTCCACAGACTGTCTGAGCAATTCCAGATGGCAATCTTTTACCAGGAAATACAATCATAGGAGGACCCATATCAGCAGCAGCTGATACCATAATGAGCACAGTAATAGATGTTTTTTCATTGTTGTCACATATTTCATACACATTTTTTTCACCTTTCATACATAAAACTTTTTGTCCATCAGGGTATAACATAAATCTACTCTCATCGCAGTTAAATACACGGTGGGGATTTTTTAAAATATCTAAAACGTTTTCCTGTTTAAAATATTGTTCAATTTGTAAAAACCAACCACGTATATTCATTTCAGAAACTAAGGCTCGAGATTTAGTGAGTTTTTCGACGGTTCTTTCTGCCACTTCTGGATGACGTTTTAAAAATAATTGCATCCATTTTTTACCTGGCCTACCATTTTTGAAATTGTTAGGAATATATAAGTCTTTTACAAGTCTTGAAACCGAGGTGACCAGATCATATTTCACTATAGGAAATCCTCCTTTTGCTACGGCAATAATCCAGTTAACTCTCAAAAGGCTGCAAAGGCTGATGCTCAAAAAGCTATTTTTAATTATCGGTTAAGTCGAGCTAGGCGAGTAACCGAAAATGCTTTTGGACTTCTGAGTCAAGTGTTTAGAGTATATTATCAGCCAATTAACTTATCTCCAAAAACTTGCGATGACTTGATCATTGTAACCTGTTGCTTACATAATATGCTTCGGGAAGCATATTTGGAAAATACTGGCAGAGCTTACTATCAATTTGATCCAGAAAACTCAACTCCAAATGAAAACATGGTACCATTTTTAAATGAAAGCGGATTTACAAATGCAGAAGGCATTATAGTACGTGATGCTTTTAAAGAATATTTTTCAAATGAAGGAGCAGTACCATGGCAAAATAGTATGTGAAATCCATTTTATGAAATTAATTAAAATCTAATTTTATGATTATAGGAATATACTTTACTATAAATAATTATATTTGTGTAATTTATATTTATATAATTTGTAAATATTTTTCATTATTTATATTATTATTATTATGTTTATAATTAATAAGTACAATAATATTTTATAAATAACCATGTTTATTTTAGTTTTAAATTTCCTCTCAATTTGTGCACCATGTTATATTTAAAATGTTTGTGAACTGTTGTAATGTTGTCAGTTAATTAGTATCTTATTTACTGCTATAGAATAATATTAGAACGTGTCGTATACAACAGCCGTTTATTAATATAAAATATTTTATATTTTATTATAATACAAGATAAATACAAGAAAATATTTTCAGAAATCAATTTTATTTTAAATGAAAAATTAGTTTCAAAGAATAAATACAAAATAAATTAATTAATACAAAAAAATCATAGTACCTTTTTATAACCCTATACCTTAAGGCTTTAAAAAAATATTTATAAAATATATTATAAAAACAACAAAAGTTAATAATCATCGCTTTCATAGTTGATCGGCACAAATCCGCGAGAATTACTAGGGACTTCATACGATCCAGACAATGATGAAGACTGTGATGTATACGTATTTATAGGCGAAGAATTAATATGATCTGCAGTTGGTCTATAAAACGAAGCATTTTGAGGCTGTGCATTATTAGGTTTAACCAAGTAATTGTTTTCCAACTGATTTACCAATGTCAGTGTTTTGATTTTTGCTTCGTTTATAGCTTGTCTTGGTAATTTTTTAATAGTCATAGCAATGCTTTTAAAAAAAATATCAACATCATCCTCCTCTTGGCTTATTTGTGATACTAATAAGTTATTTTGCGCTTCGATTTTTGAGAAAAGTTCATTTCTCTCTTTCGATCTTTTAGCCATTATCATCGACATCTTATCATTTCTAGATCGTTTTTTACCTTCAGGTAGTGCTGATGATGACTCAGATAAAATATGATCTTCCTTTTCCCTGTTTGTGATCTCAGATGTTTTCTCATTTTGATCATTAAACGAATCATCAATATTTTCTAGGGCATTTGATGAATTAGGTTATTCAACTTCTGCAGGTGGTGCAATATTTGTAATAGAACTAAAATTATAATTTTTTGAAATAAATAAGTATATTATAAATTAAATATTATAATTTTAAATTTGTAGTAGGTAAAATTATTATAATACATACTTTCTCTCATATTCAACCGTGTTTAAAAATAATAAGTAGGGCATTAAGGGCCATTTATTTCTTTCTAAACTGGCAGATCCCGTTGGTAATTTTTTTCTTAATTTCATGAAAGTGTCATGGATGTTTTTCCATCTCTTCTTTATATCTTCAACTATAAAATTTAAATATTTTTTAAATATTATTTTGAAATTATGATTGATAGCAAAATAGTCATTTTTAATTTAATTCTATTAAATTAAAATAATGGTTCCCCAAAAGAACTAATTTATCAATATAATATTATAATATTCTATAATTATATCATTTATATATTATTATTATTTTTTTTTTAATATATTAATATTATTTATTTAAATATATTACTTACCAGTTCTATTAAGCTCTTCTGATAGACTTTTCCAGAGTGTATCTTTGAAAAATATATCCTTATTTTTGGGATGAGAACAATCGTATAAAACTTTGTTTTTTTGAACAAAATCTATCAAAATTTCGTCCTCCTCAGAGGAAAATATAAACTTTTTTGACATCTTGCCGCTGGCGGTTGACGCGATGCACTGGTCCCGACCGGTGTTGACGCCAACCGCCGCGTCGATCGCGCCCCTACGCCGCGTCGAACGCACATAGGAAAACGAACACATAGAAACGCATTAGACCAGAGACACGCTGCAAGTAAAACGTACCTTAAGACAATTTATTGATGGGAATACATTGGAGGACCTAACCTGTATATATTAATCATCGATTAGGGGGAGAGCATTGCAACATTTAATGGTCGTGTGAATTCTGACGACAGTCTTGCGAATTCATGCGAATGGTGAATTATAAATATTGGCACAGTGAGAACAACGAAATTCGCAAAATTTCTATAATGGGCCGGGCTGGCGCAACGGTAAAAACACTAAAACGGTTTTTTACCCATAAAAAATTGTCGTGCAAATTCATGCGAGTGGCGTGCTAAATATTGGTATAGTCAAAGTCTCATCAATATGGTTAAATTAATTAAATAAGTATTATATTTTATTCTTTTTAAAAATAATGCAATTAAATTAATATGTAGGAATCATCATCACACAACCCTAACACTGCTGTCTGCTTCTACATATATGTATGACACATTGTGTAATTCTGAACTGGATAATAATTTATAGCAAAATGTTCCATTTCAAGTAATATTTTAAACAAAATGATCGACTTAAAGATGTATTATGTTTACCTACTTATTCATATGGTTTTTATTTTAATTATTATTAAAATCATTAAATGGTGCAAACAAAAGGACACTAATGGACATACCTATTAAAAAGTATTGAGAATCAAAATAACTTTATTATGAAAGAACAATCTATTATGAAACTAATACAAGATCGGTTACTAAACAAAGTCAATGGCTTAGAATTAAATATCAAAGGAAATACTAATAACAGCAATAGATCGATGGTGCATTTTGATTCCGATTTCTTATCAAAATTTCCTCTGAACAATAATTCTATGTATTTAGACGTAGAACATTTGATACCTTTTCATACCCAGTGTTGCTTATAAGCAATATGATTTTAACATTATATATATTGATACTAGCACTATCTAGTGGTATTTAGACTATTTAGTATGATTTTAGAACTTCTTTTTTATATTTAGATAATAGGTGGCGTGATTTGTTGAAAAAAATCGATTTATAACCGATTTTTTTTTCGTAATATTATTGAACCACTTTATCAACTTTTTAATGGCTAAAAATAGATGAAAACTAACTAAATATATATTTATTCAAAATGTTATCGATAAAACAACATTTCAAGACCCATTATAAAAAAAAAAAGTATTTTTATTTTACTGATATAGGATCTATGCATGCATATTAGTTTGTTGCTTCTAAGCAACAATGGTCATTTATAATAAAAAAACGTTACCGTCTTTTTCTGGTACATAATTATTATTATTTACGATTCTTTTTATCAAAATTGAATAATAATTACCTACCTAATAGTTTATTTTCTCTTTCGTTATTTAAAAAAAATTTAATACATTTCTATACATCGTACATAATGGCTAAGCACCAAATTCAAAACTGGTTAGAAGAAATAGATACAGAAATTTCTTACTACGAGTTATCTGATGACGAAGATCTGGAACAGTTACTTGAAGATAATACTGATGAATTGGAAAATAACGAATTTTTAGAAAATATCTTTGATGGAACGGTTAGTTTAATTTGTATTTTATATTATATTTATATTTGTATTTCATATTATATTACCTATTATAAATTCACTATAAATTATATATTACCTATATACATTATATAAATATATAAATATACCATTATACATATTATTATAATGTTCATATATGAAGAAAAGTAAAACTAAAAATACCTACTTATAATATGGATTTTATTTTTTTATCATTCACTATTTATAATATAATAATATTTATTATTATATAATTATATTATATATTTAATATTATATAAATTATATAAACTATATAATATAGTATAATATAATATTATTCACTATTCACTTTTTAGGATCAGATATTTGAGGATGTTTTTGAAAGTTCTGAAGTTGAAGATAGCGAAACAAATCAAAATTTGCTCGATGAGAAACCATGCTGCTCAACTCAGTCTAAACCAAAGAAGGTAATTCGTAATTGGAATTTTGAAAAAAAAGATTTTGTTACTCCCGATGTTGATTGGCAAAGTTGTTTACCCAACCCACCTACTGAGGAATATACACCATTACAGTATTTTAATTTTTTTTTTTCCAACGAAATGTTTGAACTAATACATATGGAAACTAACAAATATGCTATACAAAAAAATGCATCTACTCCCAACATTTCATATTACGAAATTCAACAATACGTTGGGATTTTAGTTCTTATGGGTGTGGTGCAAATGACAGCCACTAGATTGTATTAGTCTAATAACTGTCGGTATAACAAATTAGCTGATGTAATGAGTAGAAATAGATTTTCCACTATAAGTCGTTATTTCCATGTAGAAGATAATACTACTGCAAAGGGTCCAGGTAGTGTTAATTATGACAAATTACATAAAATTCGACCATTACTAAATATTTTACAAATTAATATGCATGACATACCACCGGAAGAAAGACACAGTGTTGATGAGCAAATGATTGCTTTCAAAGGACGTTCTCATTTGAAACAATATGTTCGTAACAAGCCGCACAAATGGGGATTTAAAGTTTTTACTAGAGCCGGGGCTAATGTATGACTTTGAAATATATCAAGGAAAAGGTACCTGCCCAGAAACTGGACTGGGGTTTTCTGGAGACATAGTTATGGCACTTACAAGCGAATTACCGGAGGGAAAAAATTTCAAAGTATATTTTGATAATTGGTTTTCGTCACTTCAACTTTCTGTCACTCTAAAAGAAAGACAAATATTTAGTATCGGTACAGTAAGACAAGATAGGATGGGAAAGTGTCCACTGCAATTGGAAAAAGAATTTAAAAAAAAAGGACGAGGATCATATGATTCCAAAGTTGAAACGGAAAATAATATATTATCATTAGTTCGTTGGTTTGATCGGAAGTCAATCAATTTTTTATCTACGTATACGAGTGTTGAACCTCTTGGGACTTTTAAGCGCTGGAGCATGTCTGACAAAAAATTTATTGAAGTACAAAGACCTCATGTTGTGGAGGAATATAATAAATTTATGGGTGGAGTAGACCTTGGCTGATATGTTGTTGGAACTGTATAGAATTGATATAAGATCAAATAAATGGTACATGCGAATAATTTTTTGGGTGATTGGAGTTTGTATTGTAAATGGCTGGCTTCTTTATCGACGTCATTTAAAACAAAGAAAAGAAAAATTAAAAATGAGTTTACTAGAGTTTCAAACTAATATTGCTGCTGCTTTATGTGAAGTAACTGCAGCGACTCGCAAAAGAGGACGACCATCCACGGAAACGGTAAATTCGCCAACTGAACTACCAAAGAAAAAAAAAGCTAATTGTACACCAACACCAGTAGCTGACATCAGATTGGACGGATATCATCACTGGCCTGAAATGGTGGATATAAATGAACAGTATTATGTTTTTTTTAAATTTAATTTTTATTCATTTTTTAACCATAAAAGTATTAAGTTTTTTGTTTTGTTTATTATCAATTATAATACAGTTATTTTAATATATCTATATTTGTATTTTTTTTTATTATTAGGAAAATTCATAATTACAGTCCAGTAATGACCATTGTTGCTTATAAGCAACATGTCGGAAAACTCGGAAAAATAAAATATCATATTTAAAATTTTTTAAATATGTATTCACATAACTAAAATTAATTTAAAAAATGCACAATTATTTTTTTTTATGTAAAACTGAAAATTTGGGTAAGAAAAGGGTTTTAAATGATTCTTCTTTTAAAATCAAACTGGTAAGAATATTTTATTCAATCATACAACACTATAAAACAAATTATTAATAGGCGCTTAAATTATGTAAAGGAATATTTTGTAAGAAATGTTGGTGGTTTTAATTCTAAAAATCATGTTCAGCGAATGATGGGAAAGTTTTATATTGACGAATATGCTAGAAAATGTACTAGAACCGGTCGTGGAAAAGACAAAACGACAACGGTTGGACAATCTGAAATTCTTAATGTTTTAAAAAGTGAGAGAGTTTTGAACTTTTTATTTTTTAAATACTGTATTTGTTTGGAAAATAATAATTACTACCTAGTTAAAACTAAATAATAAACTATACTTGTAACCTACAGTACAGCAGAGCACTTTTTTAATTTTCGCAATCATTCTTAATTAATTTCTTAATTTCTTTTGATAATTTTATGAATCGTTCATATATTTTTTATACCACTATAGCACGGAACAATATAATCACAGATCAATAATAACCGCGCTTTTAACAGTTGAAATATTTACTATTTATTGTTAAGGCAATTTATTATACTCCGCTTGAGAGCGCTAGTAACGTTTTTTTCGTTTTTATATTTTCCGGATTTTTAAGGTCCGGAAATATATGGTTCACCACTTTCCGGATTCTTACGGTCCGTACAATTATTTTCCGGGCTTTTACATGCGTCCCTTCGAGTAAGTTCATATTATTATTTTATTATATATTTATACTCCTAGGTATTAACATTTTAAAATACTTTTAAAAATTATTTGAACAGAATAAGTAATAACGCTCGCAGTAATTTTCACTAAAAAAAATCGGGGTATCAAATCTGATGCCGATGTACTGGAATGCTGGGAGTATGGCAAATCATATGACACTTGGAGTCAATTGCGGAGCGCCCACCGAAAGCGTCCATCTTATTTGTCAATGTCCTCAAGTCCATTTACTGGAAAATAAAGGTTTTAATGTTTCTTTACACACATTCACTACTAGCCACACGCTCACCACAACACCGAAGTCTTCGAGTAAGTTCATATTATTATTGTATTATATATTTATACTCCTAGGTTAACATTTTAAAATACTTTTAAAAATTATTTGAACATGAATAAGTAATAAAAATAATTTTCACTAAAAAAAAAAAATTATGTAGCTACCTAGGTAAACAGACATCATTATAATCAGTCGTAATAATCTTTAATTTTAAATTTAAAAGCTTTTAAAATGTATTGTTATAATATAAGATTCATACACGAGACAATGACACCACATCATGTTCGTATCCGGGGTCCAATAGTCAGTAATCTGTTACATACGTATTGTTAATGAATACTTACCTAATGAAGAATTACTGATTTAATTTATATTAAATTAAATTTACTGAAATAGTTACATTACAAAGTTATAAGTAATTGGAATTAAGTTAGGTATAAATATATGACCCAATTGCCCCCTACCCTTTAAGAATTTCACATTTTTGTTGTGCACAATACCTGGGTAATAAATTATAATAATATTCTATAGGTATATGAAACAGGTAAATAAAATGTGGAATTGGGTTTACCGCTCCATTAATGTACTGTGCTTGAGAAGGATACACGTCATAATGTCGCGGTAATTTTGTCGCTGTAAAAATGTCGCTATAAAAATGTCGCGGTTAAAATGTCGCGAACACAAATATGTCGCGAATACAAAAATATCACGATGTCAAAAATATGATTAATATAATACTAATATATTATAATTATGGTTCGGATTTATATGCAAAAATATGTTGCCAAAAATTGATTTTATAGACTACAGAGTAGTACTACACAATACACTTACCTATTATACGTAAAACCAACACAGATTACAAACTGCTCGTCGCAGTGTTCATTATCGCATTTATATTTTATATTGATATTTTAAAATTAGTTACAATGATATTATGATAAGATATCTGGTATTTCAGCCGATAAAATTGCGTCCAGAAATAATCTATATATCGAATAATTTTATAATGTACAGTTTACACAAAAAAATAATAATAATTAAAATTTAAAAATGTTGTAATAAATAAAATAATAAATTGTATTTTTATGTCAATTGATCGATTTTCATAATCATCACATATGGCTTTAAGTCGAATTGCAGAATCTTTGTATTTTTTCTTTTTCGGAGGTTTGATGCCAGCCATATACTGTTCAACTTTTAGACGGTTTAAGCTTTCTTCTTTTTTCAGTGAATCGATAAAAATCCAAATAGATGGATGACGAGAACCAGTGGCGGACTGAACTTAAATTTTAAATGACGCAATTTCATATTTTAGTATATACAACCACCACCACCTCCTAGTCAGGGACGTACCTAGATCAAATTTTTGGTGGTGGGGGGGGGGGTAAACCTCCCCACCGATTCTGACTTGAATATAATGTCAAGGCTCACAAATATGGGGGGCAATTCTCCTCCCCTCAGTTTTCAACTTTACTCGTATTATGATACAAAAAATATTACACTTTCTTAAATTCTATGTATTATGTTTAAAGTAAATATTTGGCAAGTTTTTAAGTGGTCAATAAGCATATGAGTTTGAAATTAAAACTATTGTGTAAGTACATTACATATATACATACAAATATACAATACTATTCTCTATATAAAAAAAAATATTATCACAATAAAAACTATACAAAAAAATAAAAAAATAAATTAAGAACTTTATTAACAAGTCATAACAATGACAATAATAGACATTTTTTATGACAAACTTCAAATGTAGTATTATTTAAAAGTTAATGCATTTTTTAAGAGATCTGAAGACTGTGAAAATTTATCAATAACAATATTTATATCTATTGGAATATCTCTTTCGCAACTCAGAAGTAAGAGACTTTCTAATCTACCTTGCCCCATTGTTGATCTTAGTCTGGTTTTAATCAATTTCACCTAGACTTTCATGTTTAGAATTTATTAAATAATTTTTTTTATTGTGTATTACTAATTTATAAAGACAATATACTTAATTACTACCTTTGAAAAAGATCTTTCAGCTGATGCAGATGGTACTGGAATTGTTGCCAGAGCTCTATACGCAACGTGCAAATTAGGAAAGGCTGAGTCAAGTCCATACTTTGTCAATAATTGAATTATAGTTGTAATAGTTACATTTTTATTCAAATCAATATATTCATCCATGATATTCAAATTTCCGTCATTACTTGAACAATCATCATTCTCATCAATCTCAGTATTTTGTACTTTGCTAGTGTCGTCATGAATCTCAGTAGGTAATTCTAATCCATTTATAAGTTCATAAATATTATTTTTAAATTGAATATATTCTGTCCCGAGTTGGTCAGTATTGATGTTTTCAAGCCACAGTGAAATGTGTTGAAAACAATCACTGGGCAGATTTTGTGAATCTTTCGCCATTAAACGATCAGGATTTAATATTGCCAAATCTTTTAGTATTTCTTGTGATTGACTAAATCTTTCATGTAATGACATTGTTATTTTATCAAGAGCAGCATAATATGTCTTAATTTTAAATTGAACCATAGAAGAAACATTTGAATTATCATCTGGAGTTTCTCCTGTAAGTAACTCTCTCGTCCTTTTTCTCATTTCTTTAAAGTCTTTTTCTGGTACGTTATTAAAATTCGCAAATTCCTTAACTTCGTTAATAAATACTTCATACTTGCATTCTGATCGCATTTCACTTAACTTTTTTTTTGCCACATTAACTAATTGTATTGCTTCAAAGAAATCAATAGTTTTACACTGTAGGTAGTTAGAAAGTGGTGTAGTCACAATGAAAATATTTTTAAAAAATATTAAACATAATACAAACTTAAAAGTTGAAATTGTCTTTAAAAATGCCCTTGAACTAGATGCTGTAATTCTATCACTAGAATTTTGTAAGACTTCTAAAGCATCAATCAATGCTTTATATTTACAAAATATGACATTTAAAACTTTACCATGTGAGGTCCATCGAGTATCTGAAAAACTTTTCAATCGCAAAACTCTGTCATCTTTATACATTTTTTTTCGGCATTCAATAAAAACAGCTGCTCTTTTGCGAGCTTTTAGAAAAAATACTAATGATTGAACATCTCCAAAAAAATTTTTAGTATCAGTACATGAATCACATGTATCTACCACTACTAAGTTTAATATGTGGGCAAAACACCAAACGTAAATTGCTCTAGGATTTTTATGTTGAATAAAACTTCGTAGACCTGAATAAATTCCTTGCATAGATGCTGCACCATCGAATGATTGTGCACACAGATGTTTTTCCCAGTTGATGTCATATTTACTTGTTATTGTACAAAAGGTATTGAATAATCCTTGTTCTGTAGCATCACTTGCAGTTTCTAAAGCCAACAATCGCTCTTCTATTACACCAGTACTGTTAACATATCTCACTATAAATGTAAACTGTTCTTGGTTTGATATATCCGTAGTGGTATCAATTATAACAGCAAAATGGCAAGCATTTTTCACATCTTTCAATATTTGTGCTCGAACCATTTCACCTAATATACTTAACAGTTTTTCTTGACTTTTAGAAGACATAAATGTTAATCTGTTATTATTACTTTTGTTTATTTTTTCAAGATGCATCATAACAGGGGCACTGTGACGTCCTATGACTTTTAATAGTTCTAAAAAAATTCCGCGGTTTAATGATAGAACATTTTCATTGTGTCCTCGTAGCGATATATTTTGTCGAGCAGCAAAAATCAATACCTCAATAACAGTTCGAACCACTTCTCTATTATTAGCCACTTCACGATTAGCACATATAATTAATTGGTCATTTAGATCAATTCGATTACTTTGTAAATATAGACCCCGACTGATTTCTAACTGTATATGATTATGTGAGTGTTCGTGATTATTAATAATTCTTTGTATATTAGACCAATCATTTGAACCATTCAAAGCTAAATTTGATTTTTGGGCTTTTGGTAAACCATAAAGTTTACAGGAAATACAAAAAATAAGATCCTTACTTGGTGAATAAGATAGCCAAAGTCTTCTAGATTTATTATTGTTTGCCAAATTTTTGTAATAATAAGACTCGTGGAAAGATCTATTCATATGATTCCAGTCTTTTTTTTTTTAAAATTAATGTTGGGGTAAATCATTTGGTGTTGGCTGGCAAGGGCCAAGGTTGGCGAAGTAACTCAATAGTTCAGCAGATATAGAACTAGGGATATAAGCAGGATCATTGTCAAATTTAGTTGTTTCTATGATGGGTATCTCTGTAATAAATAATCAATACAATTTTATTAAATCAAATATATAGTAGGTAATTGAATTCTTATTTTAAACAACTCTCCAGCTATTACTTTTTAAATAACAAACACTAATTAACTAAATACTAACAAATATTATTACAAAATATTACATTCAGTAAGTTTAACACTTAGAGAAGCTAGCAACAGGGTATTAACGAAAAATAAAATGTTTAACTCGAAAAATGGTAACAACCAATGCAGTATCTGCTTCAAGCAGGGTTATTTAAGTAACATTTTTGATAAAAATATTTTATACACAAATAATGAAAATCTCAATGTGTAATAAATCTCGTTAATTTAGATTTTCAATATATCATCAACATATAATTAAAAAATATTTGATTTAGAAAATATACTTGAAGTAATAATAATAGATGAAATTATAAAAAAAGTATGCATATAATAATAATAATATAATATATAATCATTAATAACAAATTTTTTTTAAATAATAAAAGCTGAATATTTTCTTATGGTTTTTTAATTGTTAAAAATATATTTTTTAAAACCTATCAAAATAAATTAATAGCCTATTAATAAAAAATTAATTAATTACCTTCTGAATTAGTAGATGTTACAAAATCATTGTTCAAATTCATACTACAATCAATATTCAACTCATGTTTCTCATCTGCAATACTGTGGTCCAATGAATTTGAATTACCAGATACTAGAAAAATCACATGATTATTTTATAATCGTATCAAAAATATAAATAATTTAAATACTACCTTCTGGATTAATAGAATTAACTAAATCATTGTTCAAATTCATACTACAATCAATATTCAACTCATGTTTCTCATCTGCAATACTGTGGTCCAATGAATTTGAATTACCAGATACTAGAAAAATCACATGATTATTTTATAATCGTATCAAAAATATAAATAATTTAAATACTACCTTCTGGATTAATAGAATTAACTAAATCATTGTTTAAATTCATACTACAATCAATATTCAACTCATGTTTCTCATCTGCAATACTGTGGTCCAATGAATTTGAATTACCAGATACTAGAAAAATCACATGATTATTTTATAATCGTATCAAAAATATAAATAATTTAAATACTACCTTCTGGATTAATAGAATTAACTAAATCATTGTTTAAATTCATACTACAATCGATATTCAACTCATAATATGCAATACTGTGGTCCAATGAATTTGAATTACCAGATACTAGAAAAACCAAATTACATTTTACAATTTATTATTATATTAAAAAATTAAAAATGTTGAATACCCTACCAAAAACTTTTTTTTTTAAAACAGTAAGTTTGTGTCTAGGATAGGTATATCAGGGAAATGTGATTAGATTAAAAACTAAGAAGTATTAGTGCTTACCGTTAGTGGCTTGGATTTTTATCCTTTTATTAAAAAAATTATGAATTGAGTTTGACTGCAGTTGTACTTCGTTTAATTTTTTTTTCCTTTTGTTAGTAATGTTTTTTAATGCACAAGCATTAGTGTGTCTCTTCCAATTGGTTGAATTCATATTACGATCTCTAATACGTCCACACGTAACACAATTATTTGCCATTTTTTTAATTTAAGTTATTATTGTAAGATAATAAAGTAAAATATGCACAAACTTTTCACAATATCACATCGGTATGATTATAATACGGAGATATTGTAGGGAATGAACAATAAAAAGAGAAATAAGAGTACAATATAATGAACATGGGAAAACAATTTAATATATTATACTATATAGCTATTAGTAAATAATTTAATTTACTCTGTTGTGAATTTTGGTGGTGGTGGTGGTGTTCGTTATACGGATACGTTATCGGATACGCATTACGCGATGTTATCTATTATGATCAGATTTTCCAAAAATTGTTGGTATTTAATTTATTAATAGATTCAGACGGACGGTCGTTCGGTTGGGGATATGGGCAATCAATTCATATTTCTATTATTATTATATTTGATATATTCTGTGAAATTATAAACAACGCACAAGACGTATCTAACTCTCAACAGATAACGTCGTACCCGTATTAGTTCTATTTTCATTAATTTTTGAATGTAGCTGCTTTTACCGCGTTTTACGTCGCATTTTGACTTTTGTTCACTCGTTCACTGCCATATTGGCTGTCAGGCGAAGGCTGTGAATCTACAGGACACATTTCACAGCTCACCGCGGCGGTATGTGCCACGTATAGTACTTATAACTTATAAGTAATTCAAATTTAAAATCCTTACCTCCGGCGGTTTGTTTTTTCTTAATAAATTTTATTATTCTCATAGCCTTACACAAGTACGGCAGTTCGACCCACCCTTTCATGTTGAGGTACAGGCCTCAGAAAATTATCTTTAATACGCACTAACACGGGCCCCTTACATAAGGCGGCTGAAAATTAAAATAGCTATTCACGTCATCGCCAACTACTAAAGTGTTTGAAAAGAATTGCGTGACTAAGATAACATTGCTACAATGCTACAAATAGTAGCTTCCCTCCAACGAGGCACAGACGGAGTTTGCGTGTCTCGTCCTCTCTAACGCCAGACACAGTGTATTGCATAATGTATTTACTACATTATTTCTATTTATGTATTGCATAGGTGATAGCCGATAGGTAAAATGTGGTCAAAAGAACCAAGAAGTCGAGCCATAGGCCGGGGTGGCACCACCCCTTTGAAACATTGACGCAGCTGCGTCAAAGTTGAGCCCTTCAGCCCGCCACTGACGAGAACTTAACATTGAACTAAAACAATTATGCCAACCCTCGACTGAATTGTTAGTTCGTGGAAAATTTGAATCGTTTGTATACCTAACTTGTAGCCCATTTGATTGTACATGTCGCCAAATAGATTGTGTTAAATGGAAAAAAACACCCTTTAATGTTAATTGATGGAAAAACATATTTTGAAGCGTTCATAGCAGCTTTTTCAAAATCAAACATCATTGATTTTGGATTAAGCTGTGGGTTTAAAAATTTTAACAAAATCCGGGCTCTGTTCATGATATTGTATTACAATGATAATATTTTTTAATATCACGGTTTTTGTAAGACCACCTTTAATATAGTATATTATTGGGCACTTGTAAATTGCTCCCACGTGGAACAGGTATAGTAAAAATACTATGATAAATTATGCCCATAGTATCTTAGTGACCTCGAATTCATCGATATCTATTATATATATATTTTAAATAATGTTGTTAATTTATTGGTGAATATGTGAAGATGATGTCGAATTACTATGCTGATATTTTATAACTTATAATTTTTTTTTATATCTTTTGTGTATATGTCACTGAACTCCTAAAAGGCTTTACTGTTTTGAATGAAATTTGTTGTGTGTGTCGAGTGGGTCCTTAAAATGTTACGATTCACATTTAGACCAATTAAGCCCAACCTGGGGAGGTGCTCAAACAGGAATTTTGAGATTTACGATGGAAATTGTTGTCTATAAATGGTATTGGTTATATGAGAAATAATTTGTAGAAATTACTAATTAGTATTTATTTATTATTGGTGGCCATAAGTTATTCGGAAAAGAATACATAAAATAGAATTTTCGCACATTGTCTATCAAGGTGGCTGAGTTGCACTTATAGCAGGTGGATTGCCTACTTGATATGTTGTCACTAAAAATTAACAGCTGAACAAATTGTCACCTGACCAATTTTTACTGAAGTATATATATTAAAATATCATTCAGAAATGGATTTAAACGGAAATTGTAACATTTTTAGCGACAACTACAAAATCGGAGGTAAATATATAATTTCTATTTTTAATTTTATATCTATTTCCACAAAAATGATTAAAATATTTTTAACTTTCTACTTTGGCAGTTGTTATCCACATTTTAATTTTAGGTTAGTCTATACGAGATGGCAAGTATGGCAAGAAAGACACTTAATGCTATGACTTTAAATCTTAAAATAAATATCCAAAAAAATTTTCTCACTGTTTATTATTTAACTTTAAATGTAGGTTATTGATTTGCTTTTAAAAAACAATAAAATCACAATATATTTAATGACTATACTGCGTAAATACTAGTTATTTTTAAGTGGCTTGCAATCATATTTATAAATACAAAAAAAAATCTAAGTGACACCTACGTGGTATTATTTTTTGCTGATATTCTGGACTTTTTGTAAATATACATAGATGAGCAAAGCGATTGGCAATTTTTTTTTAGCTACTTATATATTTTAGGAACATTGTTTTCGGACGTTCGGAATGAATTGTTTTTAGTTGCGGGGTATCAAATAGAATGTGTCTTATCGTGGTGGCAATAGGCAAGAAAGCCAAATTTGAATAGGTATCTATATATTTTGAATTTTTTTCCAGACTTGCATTCCGCTACGGAAATGACTGCCGACAATGTGCTCTTCGCTACGGCAACTTACGATGGCGATGCGCTGCCTGCAGAGAACCTTGTACAGCAACCTGACATTGACAGTCTTGAGCACTCATTGGTGCCATTTCGTACAAAAGACAATTGGCAGGACCATCAGCGGTGACAGTTTCTGCAGCAAGTAAATACATGGAATATGATGAGCTATAAGATGTGGGAGATGCAACAGCAACAGCATCTGATGCCGATGTACTGGAATGCTGGGAGTATGGCAAATCATATGCCACTTGGAGTCAATTGCGGAGCGCCCACCGAAAGCGTCCATCTTATTTGTCAATGTCCTCAAGTCCATTTACTGGAATATAACGTGTGTGAAGCAGTGGTGGTTATACATGCTGTTCAAGGGGGGGGGGGGCGAAAATAAAACCAACCCTCCCCCACCCCATAACATTTATATATATATATATATATATATATATATAGTATATACATATAATATAAAATATAAAATATGTATAATAATATTTATATATTAATAATATTAAGTTATTAACACACTTTAACTTAATGTTTAAAAAAAAAATATAAGTGTATTGACTTAGGTATAAAATATAATTATAATAAAAGCATATGCCTTTTTTTTTGCTTAGCAAAGCGTGTAATAATATTATCTATATTAACATTAATGTCTCTATGGATATGAAGCAGTGCTAGCCCATTTAATCGGCCTTCACCAGTTGTTGACCTCAACCATGTCTTCAATCTAAATAAATAAAGCAAATCACACGCATAGTAGCAATATAGGTATAGCATTGAAACATTTTAAATAAAAAAATATTAATCAAGCAGTTACTTAAAAGCATTCAAATATGCAAAACTAATGCATATTTTTAATAAAAATACTCATAAAGGAATATTATGAAAAGCATAAGCAAAGAAAATTAAATAGGTACTTATTTTTCCATTATATAAGCAAATAATATTTTTAATTTTAGTAGAGTGAAGCAAACTAGAAAAGTAAGTTTTTTTTTTAAAAGTTTATTGACTATTGAGCAATACCTAATACTCAAAAGTCAAATGATTTATACATTACTTATATTAGGTACCTTCTAAGCGTAGAAAAGCTTCGTTCTGCTGAAGCAACACTAATAGTTAGTGAACAAATAATACTAAGAATATAATGAATATTTGGAAATACTGATTCCGGACACGAAATTAGAGCTTCTAACCCATTATTTGGAATATTTTCCCCTAAAAAAGTGTAGTATTTTATATAAATAAAATTAATGATATTAAACGTTTGTTTTAACAAGTTTATTTAGTTATTAAATATAAAAACTTTAAATGTGTATAATATCATGATCTTTACCTTGCAATATTTTGCTTATAGGAAATGTTACAACTAATAAACATGATAATGAAAAAATTGATTTAATAAAGTCACAATTACAAATAGCTGCTATCATAATTTTGGCTTTTGAAGAAGAAATATTTTCATTCTATTCAGATACATCAGTTAAAGTATCTACAATTTCAATAATTGATTCTTTAAATTGCATTATGCTATTGTGTCTTTCGACCCACTTTGTTTCACACAAACTATGTAATTTTTTATGTGTTGTCAAATGTTGTTTAAGAGTATAGTTACGTTTAGCAGATACATTAAAAAAGGAAACAACTTCTTTTATAATTCCTACACAGTTTCGTACAGATTGAACAGCAAATGATTTAGGAATACTGAGGTTCAATGCATGATTAGAGCACGGGCTATGTATGGCATTTTTGGCATATTTTTTTATTTGTTGCACAGCACCACGAACTTCAGAAACCATAACAGAACAACTATCAGTCAGAATACCTACACAGTTGTCTAAGTTAAATCCTAATTCTTGTAATATTTTTACCACTGTATCTCCTAAATTCTCTCCTGTTATTTTGGGTTCTACATTGTCTTTAATATTTGACACATCATCTTTATTCTTTTATAAATATAATTATGGCAATAGACAAATGACAAACATCGTTCATATATAATGTTGTTTAATACATACTGAATAATTAAACACATTTGTGAAATATTAGATTTATTAGTGGTTTCATCAAACAGAACACTGAATATATCTGCTTTATTTATTTCTAAAAGTATAAAATCTAATATTTCTTGTTTGCAACATTCAATAATTTCATTTTGTGTTAACTTGCTAATATATTCTAAATTTCAGCAGCTCTCTAAAATTTCCTTGATTAACTATTGAATTCACTTTGTCCTCTTCTTCTGTTTGACAAACTAAAGATTCATCATCTCGATGACCGCGCAAAGGAATATTTTGCCAGCATAAAAGTAAAATAGTTTTTATAATTGGTCGTAACCGTTCACGATTCTCTAATATTTCCTTACTACGTTGGTCATTTAATAAATTAATAATTTCATTTTTAGGTTTATCATAAGTACTAAGAAAGTATAGCTTTTTATGCATTATCTTTATGATATCCATTATTATGATGTACTACTAATACACCATCCTTACCTCATAGTTTTGCAAATTTATTAATAGGTTCGGTAACCAATTTTGTTATTTGTTCTGTTCTATGCGTACCAACTTTAGTTGAAGTTAAAAACAAAACACATACCTATCTTACAGAATAACCCATGTTTTATATTAGAATACTCAACCCATGGGTATTTTTCAAAATGATTTTTTCTTAAAAATCGCTTTTTTCATTACCTTTTTTATTATGAAGAGAAAATGAATATTGAAATTTAGAACTAGGAATATTGCTCCTTTTTAGTATAATTGATTTTATATAATCACTTACGATTTTACTTCGGCATGTAAAATTTGCTATATCTAATTCATCTGTAATTTCAGACTGTATGGATTCACCAAGCTCAGCTTCAGGCTTTTGTATAGAAATAAGTTCAGTTGTACCTGTACTAGTGTCTTCCTCAATGGCAAATTAGGTTTTGATTTTTTGGTTGTAAATAGGGGCGATTTTACAGGGGGGTGTGGGGGGGTTTGACACCCCCGAATGTCGGCAATTTTAAGAAATCAAAAAATCCAACTTTCTATAGATTCTGAGCGGAGCAATGAATGTATTAATTGTACAATGTGTTTTTTTTTTGCGTCTGTCATCACCTTTTAGGTCACTAAAAATGCTTAGATTTTCTTCAACAGTCCAATCTTTACTGATAAGAAAGTGAATCTAGTTGGTAGGTACTTGGGGGGGGGGTCAAAAGTAAAAAATTCCAAATAGTTTTTAAAAGCGCCGGGAAAAACCCCAAAAAAAATTAAGGAAAACCGGGAATGTTTACACAAAATTGTTTTTCTACAAAATCGATATTGGTTTTTGTTGTAACTCTAAAACAAATTAACGTAGATACATGACTTTTTCCCTAGTTGTTTTCAGCATTTTTACACGATAACATTTTCGAAAAATGTTGGTTTGTTTTGAACTGTTTACGGATATTTTCAGTTTCAGTTTTTTTTAGTTTTTTTTTCTATGAATGTCAATAAAATGTTATTTTTTGGGTAAAAAAAGCTTGATTTAATACAAAGATCCTAATATATTGGTTCACAGACAGATTTTAAAACGATTTTGTAGTTAAGCCGTATGAATTAATATTCAACTTTTATAGCTATATAAGGATTGAAAATTTAAAACAAGGTTGCACGTAAGTATTCTGTAACCAAAAAATCTCAAAAATATAAGTTTTAATTTCATCTTTGAAAGCAGAATATTTAGATACAGTATTTCAATACATAAAAGTCAAATTTAGGAGTTTAGGGTAGGTTGGGTTAGTAACCTAGGTTTCTAACTTAACCTATTTTAATAATATTCTTATAAATTTGCTGTACATTTATGAAGAAAGTATGCATTTATGTTCTTAAAATATTATTATATGCGTTTCAAATAAAACCCATAAAATATGATAAATAAAAATAGTATTTTTTGATTCAGTATAATATGAATCAAATTTTTTTCTAGGTCAGCATTAAAATGAATAAATAGAAAAAAAAATATGCGATTTCGTAACTATTTGATCCCTATAATTTATTACAACAGGAAAAAGTAATTATTATAACATTAAGTATACAGTCGGCAGATTTATCATTGAAAGTCGGAAATATTCACTCCAAAGTCCAAACCCCCTAAAAATAAACTCTAGGATCGCCCCTGGATGTAATGTCAAAATAACTGCTTATTCGCTTCATTGACATATTAAATAATACAATTTAAATTAAGAAGTACTATAAAAAAAAAAATAGGTAGTGTAAATATGAAATTACAACTATTTAGAAAAATACAAATAAACGCATTTCAAAATTAATCACCAACGACCAAATAATGAATGTCTATGTACTGATAAGTGTGACACGGTACGGAGCGGCAACCAGTACAAAGTACATGTACCGCAGCGGCCGGTCTACGCTTCTGTCAACCGCCACCACGGGCTACAGCGCGACATCACCAACTCTCCCATCACGCCACAAAGGCACAAGGCGGGACGGGAAGGCAAGTCGCGCAATACGAGTACCGGCCGCCGGCAACTCGCTCTCTCGTCCTACGACCGTTGGATCGACTTCACGTGCACGTACTACAGCACCCCGACTGTCGCACGGTAAAACCACGTTTCACCCGAACGTCAACGATTGCAACGGCCGTCCTCAGGACATACCGAAAATCATAATTTGTTATTGATAATTAATATCCGGACCACAGCTATAGATAATATGGTTGCGGAACGGCCTATACTAAACAACGCATTACACCGAGCTGGAATGTTATTGAAAAGTCACGTGACTAAAATTACGAGCCTGTCACGCCATCTACGGTATTTGTTAGAACTAATAATTATTGTACCACGTCTATATTATGCAGAATTGCAAACCACGGCCATGGCTATATAATAATATATTAAAATGCAGACTATATATGACATACTATATTATAATTTAAGTATATATCCAGTGGCGTACACAGGGGGGGCTTAAACGGGCTAAAACCCCCCATTGCCGTATAATTATTACTTTAAAAAAATATATTAATGAAGTTCTTAACTACAAATTAACTGTGGTTTTGTCAAAATGTCCTCACATAAACGTCTTAAATTATTAGAATGGACAAAATAAAAATAAAATTGTAATTAATTGTCAACCCCCCTATTGAAAAATAGCCACTGTATATATCCATTGAATAAATATGATAAAACTATTAAAGTATTTTTATTTTTGTTGTACACAGTTTGCTTTCCCGCGTGAATTGTAATGATCACAAAAGTGAAATACTTACAGATATGTTTGTTATGTATATAACGATGAGAATGCGTCAATATAGTTATTCAAAAAATATTGAAGCCAAACAATTGAATAAAACAAAAAAAAAATTAACAAAATTGGTTACTTCTTAAATTTAATTTTAAAATTAATATAATATATTTAAGTTTAGCTACTATTACTATAGTTAGTCTAAATATTGATGTGTAATTATTAATTAATACATATAAATACTTGAGCGAGCACTATAAACCTGAATTATTTATTTATTGCATACCTATAATATTCATATATACAATATACAAACATAAATATTATTGTACTACTGTATTTTACTTCTGTATAATTATTATTGAAAAACAATAACTATGACAAAAATACAGAATGATATAATTTTTAATGTAGTCATACAATTTATCACCCAGAGAGCGCTGTGTGCTGGTGTTAAAGCTAATATACGTTTTAAGCTTCACATTTTCTTGTTTCGTTCCGCAACCATATTATCTATAGCCGTTATCCGGACACACGGTGTCATCACATAATCTGTTCGATCGTGTTTCGTCAATAAAGTGAATTCAATCAAGATCACCGAACCAAAACTTGTGTTAAACCATTTTTTATGAGTGTCACCTTCTCGGTTCTCTCCACCATTTCAACGACCGGCTTGTCGTGACCTTTCCACGCCACCACCAAAGCCGCGTCAAGTGATAACTGTTATCAGTTATATTAAGCGCGCCTGACCGAGACATAGAGTTGATAATATACAATACTATGATAATATATTATCCGTGGTTAAAACGAAAAAATATTTTGCTATCAAATCATAAAATTCAAAAATTTGTCGATAGGTGTTGTGGGTCAGTGATATACTAAATTAAAAAAAAAAAAACAAATCCCAAGGGGGGCGGTATACCTTTCGCCCCCCCTTATAACCGCCACTGGTGTGAAGTTGGGGGACTATAGCTAGGGGACTATTTTCTCGGACGACTAGTGATAAGAAACCTTGTACGTTGTGTTGCATTTCATAGAAGTTCAGGCCGTTCAGGGATGTCGTACTATTGCACCGAAACCGTGAAGTAGATGTCGCCCTATGTTACACAGTAATTGTAAATTGTTTTAAGAGTATATATTAATAAATTCTATTGGCGTCATTACCACGATAATTATACCGAACATACTGACATAGGTAATATTGTCATCATAACATAATGACAAATCAATAATAATCGAAAGTTAGGTTATAAATTCAAAATTCCCCTAACTTACTATCTAACACACATTATTCAGTTTACCTTTACATTAATTAATTAGTGTTTAAACAAGTAATTTCAAATTTGTCTTGAAGTATTTAAAACATCACTTTTTACGGAAACAGGTATGTATTAACTACCTACTGTCTACTGTACTGAATAGTTATAGAAATGTAATGCTGGATTGCATAAAACATTAAATGAATCAATAGTGAGCTAATGGTCCCTTAAACAAGATTTAGTGTTCCGTGATTGGTCCATTAAATTTTTAGTGAACCATTAAATTTAATAATTTTTTTATGCAACCCAGCAGTCTTTTATTCATTATTTAAGTATGTAATACTTATGTCACCTGAGGCACTATATAACTACTGTATTATGATTTTTCCGTGGTATGTTTACATCGCATTTTATAGAACCATATTTATTGTAAAATATTACCTAATGTATAATATTATAATGAACATTAATACATTTATTTGTATTATAAATATAAAAATGTAATGCTTTAAGAACTATTCAACTATGTAGCTGTACATGTTGACGCATTTAGACATTTTGCAACCCTTTGCAAAAAAAAAATTGTTATTTTTCGCAAAATGATGTGGTTTTCTTATTAAAATGTACAGGTGTCCCACTTTGAAGAAAAAAAAATATGGTCACGTTAATTATGATCTATGACAAGAAATCATCGTTGAATCTGTTATTAAACACAATACTGTTGTATCCTTTTCATATTTTATATTTAATACATAAGATTATACAATTATGAATCAAATTTGTATTTTTCAGTTCAAGGCAATACATTTCCATGTGTTGTTACCTAAGTTTAATAAAATGTTATTATTAAAGCATATTACCATTGATTATAGAATAGACAGATAGCCCATGGCATAGGAGTATTCGGCGACTAAAATTATATTTTATCGTGTTACCTATAGATGGCGTTGTATCAATTAACAATTAATAATTACAACAACCACAATCGTTTGTTATCAATTATTATTATCAAAATATTATCAACTAAGCATGGTTGTATTATTTTCGATTTTACACTTTTCTTCTAACTAATCTAACTTATTTCTTGTTTCTAATAGTAATGTTTCTACAGACTGTTCAGTAATTGAGTCTATATTTCGGTTTCGCTTTTTTCAGTTTACTAATAAATTTACCCTTGAACGTGCCTCATATAAATCCAGCGATACAACTCAGTGCCGTAGCTAGAATTAGAAGTGCAAATTCAGTGGCGCACACAGGATTTTTTTTCGGGGGGGGGGGGGTCAAGGTAAAAATATAACACATTTTACAAATAACAAAATTATGCAAATCCTTTAAATATTTTGACTTAAATTTTATACATACACTATTAGTTATAATATGATATAATATACTTTTTAATTATTATTTTTTGATTGTAATTTTAAATCTAAAACTTAATAATATAATAAATTTACAAATTTACAAATTTAACTTCAATCTTTTATTGATGATTTACTCATCTCATTAATTATATCATTCGGATCAACTTCTATATCTCTATGAATATTTAATAAAGCTAGACTATTAAGCCTATTTTGTCCTGTTGTATTTCTTAGGTAGGTCTTAATGTGTCGTAGTGTTGAAAACGACCGTTCTCCAGTGGCTGTGGTTACTGGTAAAGTAATAAATATTTGCAGCAATTTTGAAATGATTGGGTATATTTGAGGATCACACTGAAAGTACAGGTCTGTAACAGTTTTTTTGGTTTGAATAATATCTGACTGGTGTTTAGAACTATTTTGCCATAATTGTAATTCAGCATTTCTTGAATATTCACTTATATCACTCAAATTATTTTCATATATTATATCTAGTGTTTGAAGTATGAGAAATATTTCATGAAATATTTCAAATGAAATATTTCATTTTGAAATATTTCACTAAGTTGTGAAATATTTCACAAAAACGTGAAACATTGAAATTTTTTTAACACAAATAAAAACACAATTTATTTATTTTTTTGACACAGTGCTCAGTGTTCTAAATTTCTAAATTCTAATGTCAGAATTCAGTAAGTATACAATATACATGTATAATATTGTATACCTACTTGTATCATTTAAACATTAAAATATTTAAAAAATTTGAATACCAATTTAAATGTATAATACCAAAGGTTAAGTATACATACAGACCATACAGTTACCATATAGTGATGAAGGTAATTTATGACAATTATATGTAAATATAAAACTTATTTAAAAATAAAACAAAATATATTAAAATACTGAAATATTTCACATATTTTGAAATATTTCATGAAATATTTCACGAAATATTTCATTTTTTTAAATTTCATGAAATTTTCAAACACTAATTATATCTTTATACATTTCTGAAAGTAATTTAAAACTTTCTTCGATATCATTGTTAATTTTAAATTCAGAATTAGGAAATAAACAAGTAAAGCTGCTTAATATATTCTCGTGCGATAAAAATCGATCATGCAGTTGATCTATAAAATTATCCAAGAAAGGGATACATATTGTAACACGGTAATAACTTTCTGGATTGTTTGTGGCTATATTACTTCTATGTACTTGGCGACTTCATATTCTGGGAATGCAAACATCAATTCCAATTTTATTACAATATGTTTCAACAGACTTAAATATTTTACTAAACTCTTCAATAGCATTCACACGAATATCTTTTAATGTGTTATGTGTAACATTGGCAAAAGAAAGAGCTTGTTTTAAATCTAAACTTTCAGTTTGTAGAAGTCTACTTAGTGGGACAGATATTGAAATAGTTTAACTAAAATCATGAGTGATACTTGGAACTTAGATTGGGTTATCGAAGCTAAAAGTTGATTAGCTGTTGATGATGTATCAACGTCTGTCCAAGAAGAAATTTCTTCTAGAGAAGATATAATTGCAGGCTGTAATTCATGAAATAGCATGACAGCATCATGGCGCTCTACCCATCTGGTGGGGCAAAATGATTTTAACTTTTATGATTTTTCACCTGGAAATATCTTTGTTATTGTAGGGAAAATATTTAATCTTTTAGGATATCCAAAAAAATTAGAAATTGTCTGCATAGTACCCATACAATTTCTTATTTCAGAAATTTGGCAAGCAAAAGACACAGCTAAATTTAAGCAATGGGAACTGCAGTGAATATATAACGCCATTGGATATTTTTTTCTTATATGAGATTGGGTACCATTAAACATTCCAGACATGGCCGCTGCGCCATCATATCCTTGTCCAACTATATATTTTGTTTCTATTCCTAAAGATTGAAGGTTTTGTAATATTGTATCAGCTAATGCTTTACCACTCATATTTTTTACTTCAACAAACTGTAAAAAATCTTCCCTCAATTTTTTTTCACCAGAATTAACATACCTGATACATAAAGTTAATTGTTCCTTCTTAGATATATCACTTGTTTCATCAGCTAATATTGTGAATGATTTTGCAGCATTGATGTTTTTTACAAGGTGTTGTAGAATAAGAATATTACAAGTCGTTAATATTTCATTTTGTATGCGCCAGCTTGTGTACATACCATTTTTAGCACATGTCATCAAATGATTTTCAAGATCTTTGTCACCAGCGTCGACTCTAAATCTCAATAACTGTCTAAAATTGCAATCATTATGCATTTTGTCATCTTCAATATCAATCATACCTCCATCTCTGTGGCCTCTGAGTGCAATTCCCTGCTTTCCACAAAATAATACTGTTTTTATTATAGGAATAATACGATTTCGATTTTCCTGAATTTCTTTCTTTAAATTATTATTGACCTGAACTTCAACTGATTCAACTTGATTATTTTTTACAGCAAAAAAAGTATCATACTTGTATTGGCAAGTTTTATGATATTCTGTAGCTTCGTGTGTTTTAAATAATCAGTATTCAATTTTAAAAGTACTGAGTTAATCTTTACTACTGGACCTAAAAATTAAAATACATCATAATATTTCAAGATACACACTTTTTAATTAAAATACTAAGGGCCGTTCTTACGACGTCCGGTTAAAGTTAACCGACACTTAACCGGAGGAATTCTGCCGGTAATAAAATCTGTTATCAGTCGGTTAGCGTTAACCGACACTTTACCGGACATTGTAAGAACGGCCCTAAGATTGATATGATGCATGGTTCACTTACACCTACAACCTGCTAAATAATACTGTTGTTTTTGACAATTCATGGTGTTGGAAAAAAAGAAAAATATCAGTTATTTATTTAATAATATTATATTATAAATTACAATGCTCAACAGTTACAATAAGGGTTACCATAAATATATATTTTGAGTCTTCTCACCAGAAAATACAAGATAGACAATATGGATCCTGTAGCATGTAGAATTGTAGACACTGGCAGCAATTCTTATAGGCAGGTACATTGTCAGAACCAAGAATAATTATGAAAATATTATTATTATTTAAATGTGGTTTAGTATTTTTAATTTTGAAAGTTTAGCTAATTTTTATGTGGTTGAAAACATTTTTGTTTTATTAAATATTTTACAAATTAAAAGTTAATCAATTATATACATTTTATGCTCTAAACAGTTTTTCATTGATTCATCTAACCATTTTATAACTGTTTTATTATTTTTTACAAGCTCAGTTAATTGAAATCTAATTTTCATAGTTGTTTTCAAAAATATTCAACATTTTATTTACAACATTATTGAAATTATTTGATGGTGCTGAAAAATAATTTACTAAAACCTGGTAAGAATTTTGATTGACCAATCCAACGACGAATAGTCGATGGCCCGGGTAAGTTAACTTTTTGTGTACGTAAAAATTTATATGCTGTTGGTGATTTATAATATAAATTTAAAGCTACATTTTTTTTCATTTAAAGTCCATGGACGACGCCTATCTTTTAATTGCATTGTTACTATTGCCTTGGAATTAATTGATGAAAAGTTATGGATATTTATTGAGTTCTTAACATTATTACGAGTGTTAAAAGTTTTAACTCTTTTTTTTTCTAATTTTGAAATGTGAGTTATTTTATTATGAATTAATTTTTTTTTTAGGTTTATTTTTCTAGGTGTATCTATTTCAATCAAATCCGATTTCCTTTTTAAATTTGGGCTAGGCATGTCTATTATATTCGTTATTTTAATCTTTTGAGGAGTAGAAAACATTGAAGGGGGGCTCGGAAAAACTAACTCTACGATGTCTGATTTTGAGCGTGTATATGTTTTAGTTGGTATTGACTTTAAAATAATATACTCCTGTTCAGATTTGGCATTTTTATCGAAGCCTGATGATGTAGATGGCTGTGCATCAGATTTATAATTATAGTGAATAGCAGTGTCTATTAAACGATTTTGAGTAACATTTTAAATAAAGCTCTCAGGTGGGAAATGTTCTTGACAAATGTACCTATTGTGGAGTTTATTTGGTTCAATCGAAAACAAATTTGTGTTTCCTGTGAAAATTTACAAAAGTAAGTTAATAAAATAATAAATAATATTTGTAGGTAGGTAAATGATTTATTTTAAAATTTACAAATCACTTAACATATAATAGATATTTTCTTAAAAATAAATCAAATTAATAATTATTAATTAGGAACTAGGAAGTGACAAAATAATATTTGAAATGCTTTATGAAAATTTAAAATTATTTCCTTACCTGAATTTATTATCCATAATTCTTTTTTTTTCGTCTTTTGGAAAACGACACATTTTTAAATTCGGAAACATTTTCTTCGATTTGCCACAATTTAAATATTGGCACTTGTTTCCAGACATGTTTCAGAACTTTTCTACAGGTCTACAGTCTACTCAGTACACACTACAGAACCAGAAAATGCGAGTTGCGGGCTACTGCACAGCGAACGATTAACAAGATAGTATAGTGATAATAAAATAATTATTATTATTTCCAATGATTTTGTTTGGCATTTAAGTTTCTTATTATTATTCTATTTTTAGATGGTCGCCGCGCGATAAGCTACCTCCCTCCCCCCAAACATCCATGATGGGGGTAGCACTACCTTGCATCCCGACGACACTAGCGCTTCATAGTGGCTGCATCCTACGTATGGTCACTAAATATTAACATTGTATGGGACATTTGTCTATTCTATAATCAATGATATTACGTATAATGATAATTACTATTGCTCGGATGCAAAAAATATGTACAAAAATATGTGCTAAAGAATTCAAAATATGTATTATCAAAAAAAATAATAATAATTAATAATATAATAAAATGTGATAAAAAATTTATATTTATATATTAATATTTGTTTTGAGGGCTATGAATGTTGTATTACTGTACAACTATTTAGAATTTAATAATTTTACTCTTGGATATTTTTTGAAAATGTTATTAAAATACTGATCCATAAATCTTATCTTAATAGATGGAAAGTTTACTCATATCCAGGTTAGAATGTTTTTGTGAGTTGCAATAGACTAAAAAGGTTTACTTTATCAGTGTGACAATTTATTTCTGAAATATTAAGTTTCTTAGTTGTTTAATTTAAAATATCGAAAAACAATGTTGAAAATCAACTGTCCTAATTGGAATTTTTTAATACCTAAATAGTTCTTAAATTTGTTAACGGGACACTTTGTCATCTATGTACAATTTAAATATTTTAGATAACTTTTCGTTAAGTGATTTTTGTATAAAATATGATTTTGTACTAAACCACAGTGTAAATCCTACAATGCTACATGAACATAAAATAATTATTTACAGAATTGTCATTCATTAAAACCAAGTCCCAAAGGCTTTATAATGAGAACAGTCACTATGTATCTGAATTTGAGAATGAGAAAAAACTGGTAGGTATGTCATGTTATACATTTCTTCAAATATAGCATAGAAGTTTCATATTAGAAAAATATTAAATTATCCATTTTAAATGTAAAAAAATCTTATGAGTCTTAGTTATTTTATTACAATTCAATAACTTAACCTAATTACTTTAAATATACAACCAAAGTTTCATCTGCATAATTTACAAAAGTGGTAGTCCAACTTGATATTTCATGTTTCATAAAAGCTACTGTAAAAAGAGGGGTAATATAATTATTAGATTTAATTATTTTATTGTTAAAAATATTCGTACTTACTTATCTATTGTGTAGTCTGTTCAAAAACGTACAACATAAGTATTTATTATTCCATACTTATTTAAATGTACACAGAACATGTATCAGAAAATATAAATTTTCATTTGCTGATCCAATTGGGAAATATAGTCACAATATACTCAAATTCGACTGTTATTATTGATTGATTTACTCGCATTTAAAGAGTTTTGGAGAAAACAACAATTTACTTCCTTAATAAAAAAAAAATTTCAAATTATTTATTTTTTAGGTAAATATATTTTTAAGTACATAGCTCATTAATTTTGTAGTTTTTTCATCAAAGAATAAAATGTAGTATAGTTTATTAGTACCCATAAATAGTTTGTTGATGTTATTGTCAAAATGATTTAAATTGCAGACATCCTATCGTAAAACCACCGAAAAAAATAACTATTATGTATACTTACGTCTCCTATAGTGTGGTAACTTCGTTTAACTAATTTTGTTTTTGTAAGTGATGCCATGATGGTGATTAATTTCTTAGAAATGTATATAAATTCACTTTGTGAAACATTTCTTGAATCCACCTGGAAATTATTTTGCAAATATTCTGTAGCTAAGCCACATATGGATGTGGACATGATACCTTATTCTGTATGTGACTGATTTTAACATTTGTGTCACTCTTGCATTGTAAGATACTGTTCAACTTGATTTTGTTTTGGTGAGTAATACATAAATAATCCCATGACAAATTTGTCATGAATAATCCATAATGCATTGACAGTTTCAAGCACTCCAGTGTTTGGACACATGAAACAAATCCTTAAATTTGATGGACGTTAAAATAATGAATGGTGAATTGGTGGGTACATTGATAACACAATAACGAGAATTTTTGAATAGTAATAACAAGCTTACTAAAATAATAACAGTTATTAATAATATAATTATTTATTTATTAGAGCTCAAATGATTCAACTATACTGATTGCTAATACTGACGAAAATCAGAGGAAAAAATAATAAAACTTAAAAGTACCTACTATAACACTTTATAAGCCATTTTGATAACAGGTATTTTGTGATTTGTCATCAAAGATATTAGTAAATGATAACTGAAAACATATGAAAACTCGATAAACAAAATAAACCGATAATAGTCATTAATAATAGTAACAGTGATGACTGACGATTGTTGATTATTTTGGTATGATAAAGGAAAAAATTATTCATATTTCCAAAAACGAAATAAATTGTAGAAAATTAACGGCAACACTTTTATAAATATTTGAACCATCAACATTTTTCTAAAAATCGGCTTTATAAATTGGCTATTTTGAATTTTTCAAATACATTTTTTATAAAATTTTAAATTTTTTATTTTCAGAATTAAAAAAGTAAAAATTTTTTTTTATATAAAACATGTAGCGCAAGCGTCTACAAATAAAACAGAAAACCAAAAAAAAAAAATATCGAATACCAAAAAAGTTATTCCATATTTCAGTACTGTTTGAGACACTCTGTATTAATATTAACATATTAACAGCCCGGCGCGGCGTTGACCTTTGGGCTAGGCGGATAACAACCCCACCAAATATATAGTTTATATATACCATATACGTCATGACTGGGTCGACTCACTATGTTGTATATTTATGCAACAAGTACACTACAATATAAAAGATACCAAAAACATAATATGTAGATATAAATTATAATTATATAATATGGACAGTTAAAAATATTTTATTTGTGAAATGTAAGACGTTATTGTCCTGTCAGGGATTTTATGCCGTGTGGTGTGTATAGCAACGCATCTATAAATTAAGTATAAATAAATTCAGATCGAATTAAACGACTATGGCCAATATGAATATTTTATTCCAGCCAAATTTCGATTTATATAGGATATTTATTTTATTAGGTGATTGAAATTCGTATACTATATAATAATATGAGAGTAAGTATTAATTTGTTAATTGTACTTACTAATATTTTAATTCGCATTTAATCAATTTTTGGAAGCCTTGCGGCATTGCGAAAAAACAGTCCCCTGGGATGGTCGGTCGCATACTCGCATATTACGAAGAACGGGCACATAATGATATAATTGAATTTCATAGCGCCATCTTGTGGTTGAAGATAATACAAACGGCCGACGCCTTGAATATAATAAAACGCAACCGTGCATACAAAACCTGTTATCATAGTCGTCCGGGAAAATAGTCCCCTAGCTTTGGTCCCCCAACATCACACTGGTGGAAAATAAAGGTTTTCCTATTTCTTTACACTCATTCACTACTACCCACACGCTCACTCAATTTTTTTTATTCTATTTAGTTTTAACGTGGCTTGGAAGCCCGATAGTGTAAATAGTTCTGTAAATCACAAAATAAAAGTGATATAAAAAAGTTTAAGGAACTCCAGGTGAATAATTGTTTATGTTCATTATTTTTTTTTTTTACATTAAGTATCTAGTCGCGGTCTGCACCTTACTTGTCGCACACGTATTATTACGCTCCACTAAATTTTCGTGATCCCGTCAAACTCTCGTGTCTGAAATTTTCGTACTTGGTACGAAAAAAATCGCAATCGTCTTCCCTGTTTATTTATACAAATTATAAAAACTGGAAGTGCGCCTAAGTGCACTTTTTCTTTCTAAATGTAACCGAATTACGTTTACGTTTAAAGCAACTTTTTATCGTCTACTCTATAACCGTCGCGCTGTCGCTGCAACGAGCAGCGGTACCTGACCTTTGCCCACCAGATAATATGGCGCGATATTCCAACGTACCCACATCGCCGAAAGTGAACAATAAACATGCAGATAAAAACAAAAACAGCAAAAATATACAGGCAGCTCGCCTAATCAAATATTCTACAAATAGTCCTATCCTGAACTTCACAGATCCAACTTCACTCCAGGTTGTTAACACGGAGGCCGGTTGGACACAAAAGACAAGTAAAAGAAACCATTCAGACTCATCTGAGCCAAAATCTCCAGATCCTACTTTAAATAATAAAAAGAATAATAATAAATTATTTATAACGGCAAATCGTTACGAAGTGCTCTAAATGCTCTAAATGAACCTACTACTACAATAATCGAAGCTGACACTGTCTCTGAGGGATCCATCATCACTGATCATATAAAACCTCCACATCCAATCTTCATGTAAGTAGTTTTAGACTTCCCTGGCTTTTCCTCAGTTCTAATTGAGCTAATCGGAGAAGATAATTTTTACTGCAAATCTTCCACCGATCGATTAAAAATACAGACTGCTAACCCTGAATCATATAGATCACTAATTCCCTACCTTAAGGACCAAAAAGCGGAATACCACAATTCAAAATCGTTTCTTGAGACTTATATCCATCAAGTGTAATATTAAACGTTTACCTCACACTTCATATGAACCATTGTTACTATATCTAAACATTGATACTCTTCAAAACAGAAGGATTAAAAACGATATTAGCTTTATATTTAAACTATTAAATGGATATATTTACTGTCCTGATCTTTTGTCAAATATATCATTTCTAGTTCCTGGTCATTCAACTAGACAGAGAGACACCTTTTATATGCCATTCCAGCGCACTTTATATGGTAAGAACGCCCCTTTAATTAGATGTATGCAACATGTAAATAATTTTAATGTCGATCTTTTTATTTGTTATTCTGTGAGTTCATTTAATTTATATCTTAGAAATTTATTCACTTAAAATATTTTTATACCTCCACACCAACCATTATATATATATTTTATACTATTGTTTATTTATATTCAACAACTACCATTATGTACATACTATTTTATGTTCCACATACTATTGTAATTGGGCTCGCCCGTTAAATTGATAAATAAATAAATAAATAAATAAATAAATATTTTTAAAAATTCAAATAAAAGCAATGATTATTTAAATATTATGGCTAGATATGGATACCTAACTTGTATTAATAATTTTACTAGAGTAACAAATCTTTCAGGATCTTGCATTGATCATATTTTTATCAAAAACATTCAAATTAATAAAGTTAAATCATATATACTAAGATGGGATGTTACTGATCATTATGCGACTATATTAATGTTATCAGATTTATACACAAATGAAAATATTCCCTCATATACCTTAAAATCTGATATGATAAATACTAGTCATTTAGACTTATTAATTAAAACAGAGAATTGGTATTCATGCTTAGACTATGAAAGTGTTGATATGATGATCGAAGTTTTTAATTCTAAACTTAAGGAATTTATTAATTACTCTAGGTATTCTAATATTAAGTACAAATCTAAAAAAATGTTTAAAATAAAAGAATGGATTACAGCTGGTATTATAACCTCAATTAGAAATAGACAAAAATTATACGCTAAATTAGGAACTAGGCCTTTTGACTCAAATTTTAGACAATATTACATTTGTTATCGAAAAACATTAAATTTATTAATCAGAAAGTCAAAACAACTATATTATCAAAATAAACTACATCGCGCACAATCAAATACGAAACAGGTTTGGAACATTATTAACGAGGTCACAGGTAAACCATATAAAAATACGAGTAAAATTAATAGGATAATCAATAAAGATGGTATTGTTATTGAATCTAAAGTTGATATTTGTAATGAACTTAATACTTTTTTTGTAAATGTTGGGTCTAATTTAGAAATTGAACATTTTAAAAATTCGGATAAATTCTTATTTAATAATAATATTATTGAAGACAGTATTCTCTTTAAACAAATAGACGAAAATGAAATTGAAGCACTCCTTGAGAAAATTAAGAACTATACTTCTTTTTATGAAAATGATGTGACAAATTTTTTACTTAAAAATGTACGTAAATCTATCTCCTTACCGTTAGCAATTATTTTTAATAAGTCATTATTAACTGGTAAATATCCTTCGAATTTTAAAAAATGTACAGTTATACCTCTATTTAAATCGGGTGATAAATTATTTTGTGGAAATTATCGACCGATTACTTTATCTCTAACTTTATCCAAAATTTTTGAAAAATGGATCAAGGTCAGAATAGTAAACTTCCTAAACACAAAATCTTTTTTCTCTAAAAAACAATTTGGTTTCCGAACCTGAATGTCGACAAATGACGCGCTATTTGAGGTTGATAGTTTTATACGGAACAATATTGATAAAAACTATAAAGTATTAGGTATTTTCCTAGATGTTCATAAAGCTTTCGACTGTGTAAACCATGATATTTTACTAGAGAAATTAGATAGGGCTGGTATAAGAGGTTTGGCAAATAACCTTTTGAAATCCTTTTTAAGTGGACGAACCCAAAGAGTTAAAATTGATGATACTTTTAGTGAATATTTAGAAATTTCTTGTGGAGTTCCTCAAGGTACTGTGTTAGGCCCATTATTATTTATACTTTTTATTAACGTCTGTAACGATCTTTTGAACATAAAAACAAATATTAACATTGAATTATTCAGTTTTGCTGATGACACTGCAATTTTAATATCTGATCCAGCGGTTAATAATCTATATTATGAAGCTAATAATATTTTAAATACTGATTATGGGTGGTTTTGTAAGAATAAATTAAAATTGAATTTAACAAAATCGAAATTTATTAATTTTGAACCTTTTTCATCAAATATTTTTACAAATAATAATTTAATAGTTCATTCATTAAACTGTATACCTAATCTCACTTCAACCTGCAGTTATAATTGTATTAATATTGAAAATGTATTAGAAATTAAATATCTGGGATTAATTCTGGATTATAGGCTAAAATGGGATAGGCATATAAATTTTATAAATAACAATTTACGTAAATTCTTCTACATATTTAAAGATACTAGATATATTTTTAAAAATTATTATAAAAAAATTATTTATTTATCCCTGGTACAATCTTTCTATTCTTATGGTATATCAATTTGGGGAGGAACCTATAATATCCATTTATCCAGACTAAAAGTTACCATAAATTGTCTTATTAAATATTTATTTAATTTAGGCCCGTTTCACATGGACGCGTATCATACGCGCGCGTTTTAATTTACATTGGTCAAATTCATACGCTCCACTCCGACGATGGCGCGTTTCCCTCGCCGGTTTGGCGCGTATGAACTTAATCAATGTAAAATGGAATACGCGCGCGTACGATACGTCGCGTATGATACGCGTTCATGTGAAACGGGCCTTACCTTTTCAAACGAGTACTATCATTTTATGAGTCTCTAAATGTAAAACATTTTAATTTTATTTATAATGTGTCTGTTCTGTTAGATTTATTTGATCATGAACATAAAACTAGGTTTAAACAAAATATTAATATATGCTTACCAAATTGCACTAAAGTTTTTGGTCAAAAAAGTACATTTTATATTGGCTTACATTTATGTGTTTTATTTAATATTAATATAAATAATTTTAAGAATCTTTTTACTTTTAAAAAATATATAAAAAAATTAAATTTAGATTGTATTTAATTTGCGTTATTGCCTCTTTATTATATTGTTTTACTCCATTTAATAATCTTTATATATTTGTCTTTAGTCTAGTTAAGTCTCTTTTTACTGTTAATTAATGTAATTTATATTTTTTTAATAATCATATTCTACTATAGTACTTATACCTTACTTAAATTTTTTTAAGAACTGGCTCTCCCAGCACAAGCTCTGCTTTTTGGGAGTGCTGCAATATTGTTTAATTTTCATAAAATGTATAAAGTTATATTTTATGTTTATATACTTCCTATATTTTATTATTTTATTTTAATATGTAAAGATGTTATTGTCGCAATAAATAAAGTTATTATTAGTTATTATATTAATATATGATTCCATTATAGCAAATTAATTAATTAATTATTTATAATTTATAAAATTTTCCACAGTGATTTTCTAGTGGTAGATTCGTATTTACGATACCAATTGATTACACTAAATTGAGGAAATATTGAAAATTTAAATTTGTTTTTCTAGCTTAAGAAACGATTGTACCTCTTCATCTAGAGACAAACTTATAGACATGCGATCAAAGGGCCACTTGATACATTCATCTAATAATCTATTTAGTTTAATTTCTACTTAAGAAAATCGACACTATAAACATTGAAAAATTAAGAACTTAATATGGATAATTTATTAACTATTACGTCAATAATACATATACATATACAAGGTGATTCAATCCAATTGGTCGGTTGTGTTGATCAGAAGGAATAATTTTCTAAAGCCATATTGTCCGTTTTTTTTAGTAATCCGCATGTGTTTTATTGTAAAAAGAGCCAATTATAAAGATACTATGACTCATAAGGAAAAAACAAAAAAAAAAAAACATTAAAGTATCCAAACTGTAATAAATAATAACAATAATAATAATAACACCTAATTATGTAAACGAAACAGTTTACCTATTTTTACTGTTTATATGTACATTACGTAAATATAGAACATTAATATTATTTTTGAAATTTATTCTTAAAGATAAATTTGCGCTGAATACGATGGTATAATTATAATATTTAAATACAAATTTTAGTTTTTGAATTATAATTTTTTAAAGGTAATAAAGTCAAGTATGTCCCTATCTAATACGGGTTAATTATACTCAGTGCCGGATCTAAGACATTTAACGCCCAGGGCTAATAAAAATGTAGCGCCCTTACATAGTATTAGCTACAGAGGTCAGGGTTCGAGGGTTGTCAACATAATTAAAAAAATTTTTAAACAGGTACAAATCAAAAGTATATTTTTATATAACAAATATTTTTTATTTAAATCGTTGTCTTAAGTCTTAACATATATTATAATATTATAGATCATAGTCAATATTATAGTTAAAAACCATTAAAAAATATAAAAACAAAAACCTAAATAAAAAATCTCTTTATTATTTTAATTAAGTAAAAAAATTATAATCTGAAAATTTAAAAATTAACTTTTCTAGCTTTTTTTGCAGCGAAATCATTAATTATGTCTTCATAATTGATTTGTCTTGCAATTTTATTTTCTATGGATAAAATAGATAAGTTATTAAGTCTTGCTTGCTCCGTAGTAGATCTTAAATATGTTTTTATTAATTTCAATTTGCTAAAGCTTCGTTCACACGAAGCTGAAGTAACTGGCATTGTAAGATATATTTGGTAAGCAACGGATATATTTGGATATGCATCTTGAAGTTTATTTTTATAAATAAAAATCAACATTTCAAACAATGTTGCTCTTTTTAAACATGCTCTTTAAAGCTCTCTAGTTCTGAAATGAATTCAATTTTGTTGAGGTCGTTTTCATATTTATTGCATAAATCGACTCCCGCTCTTTGCAAGTTTTCCATAGGACAAGAATAAATTATTGTTGGATCTAAAAATGAAAAATCTTGAGCAATATTTTCCATTGATTTAAATCTTTGACGTAGTCCTATTAAGATATTGTCAATAACATTTTTAATCATTATTAAAAATTTATTTTCTTCACTTATGTTACAAAACTCATCTTCTGCAATTTCTCCGGGTAAAAGTTTCTTTTTTCGTAATCTGACTTTTGGAAATTCCGTTTCTATGCCTAATACTTCAGCTTTATTCTTTGAATCCAATAAAGCCTCATTTATACCTTGCTCTCGAAAGTTTTATAATATTTTAAGGAGACTTTGCAGATGTTTGACAGCTACATCAATTGTTAATTTTGGTTTTTGTAAAATTATATTAATCCTGTCAATTGCACTGAGAATTTTTTCCCAAACCGTAAGCATACAAATAAAAGAAAAACTTTTAAGTGATCTCATCAAATTATCTGCATCAAATTTTGTTTCTTCTGATAATTTTTCTTGTTGTAGAACGTCAAAGCTTTTAAAAACCATATCCAGCTGAGTATTTAATGATTTTATTGCACGATGTTTAGCTGACCACCTTGTTGTACTATACCCTTTTAATGACAACTTTAAATTATTCATTAGAATATCCCATCTTTGCGTTGAACTTGAAAAGAAATTAAATAATTTCTGTACGATGCCGAAAAATGTTTCTACTTTAGGTATACTTTTTGCACAATTAACACCAATTAAATTTAGGGAGTGAGCTGAGCATGGGATGAATCTTGCAAGTTTATTCATTTCAATAATTCGTGCTTGGACTCCTTTAATTTTTCCACTCATATTTGACCCGTTATCAAACGATTGTCCTCTACAGTCAGATATTCTAAGATTATCTTTTGTCAAACAATCTAATATAATATATCTTCTGTTAATGATTCACCAGTTTTGTTGTACACACGCACAAACTTTAAAAAACTTTCTATGATTTCGCATTCATTCTGGTTGTTTTGTATAACATAGCGAATAACTTGGGTCATTTGTTCTTGGTGTGCAATGTCCGGTGTACAATCGAATAGTATAGAATAATATTTCGCCTCTATTATTTTTGAAAGAATTTCATCTTTAACTCTTTTTGCCATAATCTCTAGAAACTCGTCTTGAATACCATGAGAAAAATAAGAAAGACCACCTTTTTTGTGTCTTTCAATATGTTTTGATAATGGTTCATGATAATGTGACACTAGATTAACTAAATTTAAAAACTTTCCACTTCGGTTTCATGTTCCCACACTAGAAATAATTTCATTAGATCCTCGAAATGCACTTCCGTCCATTGCTAGATGCATTATAATGTCTATAATTGCCAATAAAACGGATTTCCAGTGACCTTCTTTTCTTATAGAATTTTGCAATTCTGTATCTATACCCTCGCAGTGATTCAATGCCATTTCCAATGAAGTCCAAGAACACACATTTTTTTTATGTATTGGTGAATTTTCATGTAATGGAATTTTTTCGGTAACTTTTTTCCAATTTGTTAAGCCAGTGTATGCTAATTTTGATACGTTGGATGAGTTTTCTATTTTAGTAAACAATTTACAAGGTACACAAAAAAGTGCATTTTTATATGAAGAATAGCTGAGCCATGTTATTTTTAATTTTTTTCCATTCATAAGTATCTTATAAAACCAGTCAGACTTAACATTTCTACCGTCTCTTTCCGAATTACTAAAATCATGAATTTCGGAATAATTGTACCTCATTTTCACTAAATATGTTCTTTGTGTATCTGTAATATTTAAAGGCCATGTACCAAGATCAGTAAAATGTATGTTTATGGTGTCTACTTTATCGCAATTAGTTCTGTTCCTGTCTATAGCTGAATAATAGTCCTCATCACTAGTCGATACCGTTTTTGTTTCAAATAATTTGAAGGAATTTGAAGGAACCACTTCTATAAATTAAAGGTAAATTAAAAAAGGTATTTTTGTGATGGCCTTTGATTAGTTTATACGATTTAAGCTTATATTAGCTGTTATAACTTAACAATTCATTTTATAACTAAAATTAGTAAAATCAAAAATACCTACTTAAATCTAAAACGTAAATGATTTATAAGAAATTTAAAAATAAAACAAATAATTATTTAATATTCTATACTAAACAATACAAATTTATTTATTTATTGTTGCAATAAAATAAAAATTCAATTTTATTAAGTTGTTTTAAATATCTCAATCTTGATTAAATTCATTATATTTAACTATAGGTAAAAATATAATTTATTTTAACAGGTTTAAAAATTGCTTACCGTTGGTTTCTGTTTCAGTAATATTCTTATCCATATCTGAATCATGGTCCACATCATTAGTTGATACCGTTTTTGTTTCAATTAATTTATTATGTACAATCTCTGTAGAAACAACGTTATGTTTATTTTAATTTTATTTAGATGTTTAAAATATGTTTTAAATAACCTTTATTAAACTCATTACATTTAAGTATTTAACTATAAATATATAAATTATTTTGACAGCTGTAAAAATTGCTTACCGTTGGTTTCTGTTTCTGTAATATTCTTATCCATATCTGAATCATGGTCCACATCATTAGTTGATACCGTTTTTGTTTCAATTAATTTATTATGTACAATCTCTGTAGAAACAACGTTATGTTTATTTTTATTTTATTTAGATGTTTAAAACATGTTTTAAATAACCTTGATTAAACTCATTACATTTAAATATTTAGCTATAAATATATAATTTATTTTGACAGCTGTAAAATTTGCTTACCGTTGGTTTCTGTTTTTGAAAAGAAATTGACGATCTTAGGTAGTTTTTGTACATTTTTTTCAAGTTCCAGTTTTCTTTTTCTATTTTCAGCCCCACTAAGCTTTTTTTTTTAATTCATTATCTTTTTGTTGGTTAAGAAATGTTAAAATAAAAAAAACTGTAGAGTTGAAATGAATCTGACAACAACTTTACTGTCGACTATTCGAACATTGTGAATACCTATTATAAAACCTATGCATTTATCGTCGATCGCAAGTTTGGGTTTTCTCCGAAACTGACTGATAATGACTAGGTAACTATAAATATAAAATATGTCAACACCGCGCCGGAGTGCCGGACCAAAATATAAACAAAAGAAAAACGTATTCGAATATCTAAAGCCGCGTATACATGTGCGAGCCGAACCTACCGCGAACCGCTCGCGAAGTGTTCGTGGAAAAAACCGACTATCGATGGATCGGCGCGAACGGTTTGCGAGCTATTGGTTCGCGGTAGGTTCGGCTCGCACATGTATACGCGGCTTAGTATTATTTATTCTGTTTAAATATATAGTATTATAATTTATACATATTTTATGAGATATTTTTAGCTTATTTTTTTATTTTTCATAATCTTAAGAGCGCCCTGATACCAACAGCGCCCGGGGCAAGAGTACCCACTTGCCCCCCCTAGATCCGGCACTGATTATACTCAGAGCCAGCCTCGGATTTGACCTTCACGCAGACTGGTGGCGTGTTTTACTGGACGTTTTTCGTGGTAGAGTTTGTCCTCCTTTATTTTTTTTTTTTTTTTTTTTTTTTTTTTATTGGATAACCCGCGGCAACATAGGCCATTGGGTGTTGGTAGGGAACTGTAGGTTTTTAGTTTGGGTAGGTTGGTACACGTGTGTGTTTGTGGTGGCAGAATTTTTATTGGGGCACCCGTAGGTTTCTGCCATGCCCCGGGTTGGGGGACGTCCTCCTTTAAAGATGGGATTTATCGTTCACTTAGGTATAAAAAATGTTTAACTAGATAAGTTTAAAGTTAAGATAGAAAATAAAATTAACTTACCTATCTCAGTAAAAAAAAAGTTAATTTTTTTGAAGATACAATATTTTTAAGTCATAAACCACCATAGTATTTTAGGTAAAAGGACGTTTCGCCCGCTCCGTCAAAAAAGCGAGTCCACGGACGTTTCGTCCCCATCTATTATTGAGACAGGACATTTGGCCACCGGGAGTTATGTGATGTTATTTACCTACCCGTAGGACGTTTGGTCCCCATTATTTTAAATCACTACATTTAAATACCTTTTTTTAATTTAAAATTCCAATTATTTTTAAAAATGGTAGTTTCAATATAATTTATATTAATATGTGAGGATGGCCTACCAACAACTTGTAATAAAATTTCCAATTTTGATTTTTTTTCGATTCCTGCTCTAATCTAATCATATATAATTTGAATATTAATGTTTAATTTATTCTCAGTTATTTCAACTATTGTCTTTATGTGTTGAATAAACGATAATTTTAGTCTTTCAATACTGTACTCTTACCCTTTCCCCTTTGAGGTTTTACACATATTTATTTATTTAATACATATTATATTATTATTATAATTATTATTTATTATTAAAACTAATACATTTTTTCAAAATATTATTTTTGGGAATTTCCTAACATGTGAAACTACCAATTTTTGTTTGTGTTGTTCGGAGGCAAAGACGACGACGACAACTTCGATAATATGAACTCCCGGGGGCCAAATGTCCTACCTTAATTAATAGATGGGGACGAAACGTCCGTGAGCTTATTTTTTCGGGGACAAAACGGCGGGAGCGAAACGTCCGCGATTCAGTACTTTGTTATACACAAACATTTACCAAGATATTTAACACTGCAATAAATGTTTAACTTAACTTTAACGTTTTAACAAGTTAATGCCCAAATTTGACAAATAGTACTCTCTGTACTTTTATATTTATTTAATATATTTTTTTAAGGTCTTTAATAGTATCAAAATATATTTAAAAATATTTGAATTTAATTGTTATAGTCTCTATACCATGTATACAAGCTTCAACCAAGCTCGGGTTAAGATAATTTTTATCGGGGCCATA